AACCTGTTGAACACCGAGGCTGATCAGCCATTGGTGTGACGTCACACTGAGCTAAGGGTCAAACTCAGGTGAAAACGCGAGGAAAATGACACCCAATGCACGTTTAGCTGGTGTGCCGCTTACTGCGTTCTCAGGGTATTTCCTCTGACAGACTGTTCCACCACACTGGTTACAACTACACCAGAGCGGAGGAGGGGACACTAAAACAACATGGGGTACAGACTGGTAAACCTTATATTTAGTCCATCTGGTAAACGCTACTGGCATGACAACCTACAGCACCATCTAGTACCCTTCCGGTATGTTAACCTATACCACATCTGGTAAACTGGCCTTGCTGCATGCTCTCACATCTCCCATGCCTTGACACCAACCGCGTAGGTAATCTTCAGCCGACCCAAAGCCGGCGGAGAGGGAAGGTGGAGGGGGAGGGCGGGCACCCACCTGCAGCACGCCTCCCTCGCCGTCGCCTTGGCCAGCATGGTCTTGCCGCAGCCGGGCGGGCCGTGCAGCAGCACGCCCTTGGGTGGCTGGATCAGGGCGCTGCCCGAGAACAGCTCCCGGTTCTGGATCGGCAGGATCACCGTCTCCTGCAGCTCCTGGATCACGTGGTCCAGCCTGTGGCGACGATGGCGCCGGGTCAGAGGCGCCTGGAGCGCGCAGACTGGGGCGAGGACGCCGGCACAGCGCTGATAAGCGCGTATGGCGTCACACATCGGGATGGGGGCGTGGATCGTACGGTCTGGTCTGGTGTGAATGGCCTGGTGTAAAAGGTCTGGTGTGGATGGTCTGCTGTGAATGGCCTGGTGTAAATGGTCTGGTGTGAATGGTCTGGTGTGAATAAGCTGGTGTGAAGCGTCAGATCAAGCGCGTAGGTGACATGGCCAGGTGTGGAGATCTTTTTCCCATCAAAAAGGGAACGCGACACACGCTATCACCTGCTCTTTTGGTCGCGCGCCAGCCAGTTACAGCAGCTCTCCTCCACCGCCTGATTAACTGCACGTCAGGTGGGCCACATCACCGCTCCATGCTGGCGGCACGTGCGCCTTGTCATGCGTTGGGCGCCTGTCTCCCTTCCCCTACTCATTAGCCAACGACACATCAGCAGCCCGCGCAGCTGTGCACGTCGGACGCGCGTGCTACTCACCCCGCGATGCTATCCCACGACACCTGGATGGAGATGGGCTCCACCAGCTGACAGGCGATGGACATCTCGTAGTCGGTCAGCTGCACGCTCTTGTCCACCCCCAGACGCTTCAGCAGGCGCTCCGCCTGCCGCCGGCACGCACAGGTCACACGGGGTCACAGAGGTCACATGTGGGTCTCGGAGGTCACACGGGGGTCACCTTAAGGCCACACGTGGATCACACAGAAGTCACACGTGGATCACATAGAGACCACACGGGGTCACGCTGAGGTCACACGGGGGCACATAGAGGTCACATAGAGGTCAGTAGGCAGCAGCTGATGTAACACCTGCCTCGTCAACAGGGCCTTGTACACGTGCGCCGACAAACCAATCGTCGCAGGGCCCGCAATGCGTTGCTGTTGCGATCATTAGGGGCGGAGACACCGTGGAGGGGGGAGAGGGCGTGGCCAACGTGTCTCCCTTAGCTTTCAAAACGTCAGGTCATGTTCCCCGCAATCCTCGAGAGACCCAAAACTGTCGGACACGTGTTCTGGTAAAGCAAGTACAGGTGCACAAATTCATATAGAGCGCTTAACGTACTCGACAACGCCATGAACACCAGAAGTTCTCGAACTTGGAAGGGGGGATTTCCATTTTATTATTATTATTTCCTTCCAGTCACCAGCCAATTGGGCTAATTAAAAATTTCAGAAACTCGGAGGCTCAGCCCGCCTCCCCTGGTCCCCACGCCTCTTACGCCAGTGTATCTGCTTAACGCGTTGTTGCCGACATGACGTTTAAAACGCAGCAAAAATATAGAGCTGAACAGACCATGCGCGAGCCCCTCGGTAGGAAGCGCATCGCGTTGCAAACGCCAGCGTATGCACTTCGGTTGCTAAACACCTCTCTCTCAAGCTTTTGTGCTGTTGTTCCACACGGGTGAAGCCCGCGAGGCGGGGACCATACCCCATGTTCACGTGACACGTTTACGTTTACGTGTGGGGCGTCGCCTTACTATCACTCTGACAGGAAGGGTGGGCGTTAACGCGCCAACCACTACACTATCGGCACCCTAGTTTCACGTAGGCCAAATTTGTTTGCTTTAACTTTGCCATGACTTATCCGCTAACGTACGTATCGTTAAACGGAGGACGTGTGGCACTAACGCGGCGGAAAGCCTCATGCAGTGCTCTCAGTATCTGCTCTCACAGCAAGGAGGGAATATTTTACATGGGGCGTTCCACATTTCTATGGGGTTTTCAGCTGAAATAGCCATCTCGAAGACCTTTTAGTGCAGTTCACAACCATATCCGTCTCAAGACCTAAATCCCCCAGTTTCTGAACTACGCGTCCGCAAAAATGGGGAGAGTATTTCGGGGAGAGTATATAAAGGTCATCTTGGCATTCATGACGTCAAAGTATCGTCATTCAAATCCTGCTACTTCATAATCCATGCGGCGGTCAAGGCCGAACAAATATCATGGTCGGATAGTTCATATCTGACCTTCGTGAGCACGATTACCAGAGATAACGGTCGTCAACTGGCTCTTGATCAATGTCGTGCAAGGCACGACAACGTCATCAGCGACGTATCGAGAAGCATATTCACTTTACCGCGAAACTGTGTTGTCTAGAGCAGTCGCTTTACTTAAAAGTATACCCAAGCTAACAGTGGGCCTGATCCACCATATGTGATGATTGCTTCAATATCTTCAAACGCGCAACTTTCCTTTCAACATGACTCCATTCGTACGGCCGTCCATCACAAGATACACGCGTCGCTCACCGCACTTGATGATTTTTTTAGTAGCCATGTGGTGAATCAAATTTTAATCATGGGTTTTTAGTACATCCCCACCTCCGTCCGCGTCGGACGGCGACCCTAGTGAGGGGGGGGGGGACGAGGGGGGAGGGCGGAGGCACCTGTCACCCTGCACGCCGTCCCTCCGCTGTTGCCAAGGCCGTCTGTGATAAACTCCGGCCCACGGCAACGGATGCGACTTATGAACCCAAAAATAGCTGTCGTCTCCTCACACTGGCGCGCTGTTGACCTTAAGCATGGAGACTGTAGCTCTGCCAGTCGTGTTGCTTGATTTTGCTTTGGTGTCTTTGACATATCGTAAACAGGTTTTGCAGAATGGCGGCTTACGTTGCATTACGAGCTGCAAAAATCATTACCGAGCGGAGATGGCCCTGTGTTGCCCCACTCCGATCAGCTTCTTCGCTGCTGCCACCTGTGCCACCTGGCCCGTGAACGAGGTTCATTCCCAGGTGGTCTGATGACTGGCGACAAACTGCATAATTTGATATTATGACCTATAAGAGCTGCATCCTTTACAAACGGAAAGACCTAGGTGTTCTTCTCAAACTACATGGATACTACAGTCCGTATACGGGCGGAACACTTCGCCCCTAGGGCTGGAGCTGTTTTGTATGGGGCGTAACCTACATATTCATTTCATTCGACGCGCTGTGACCTTTCAATGATGGCGCCAACGAAAGTTAGGAGACATTCGAAAGTCAGTAAGCGACGCTCGCAGAGTGACATGTCGGCAGCATGACAAACAATGACGGCTAAGGTTCTCGCTGAGGCCTACAGGGCTGAACTGATCATCCATGGTTAGTCCCGCCGCCGTACCCCACAAACAAATATACATACTGCCGCCCACGGCCACCATGACTGGAGGACGATTATTTATCGTGCGGCATTACCGTTGCCACACCCTGGCGGGAGCCAGCACCTACGACGCTTCTCACCCCGTTGCAAAATTTCCCCCGGTGGGAGTCGAACCGCGGACCTCTCGATCCGAAACTCGTCACCCCGCAAGCCGCCGTCCGCCAGCCTCACCCTTTTCTTATCCTCCTGGCGGCGCCTCCTGGTCGGGTCCATCATGTCCACGGCCCACTTGACGCCGAGGTAGGTGATGGCCGACGCGACGGCGGTGCGCACGATCAGGCTGACTATCTCGGCCCGGTCGAAGGCGCGCGGGATGGAGTCAGACATGGTGGCAGCCTGGGGACGAGGGGCACGCGTGGTGGTCGTCTGGTAACCCACTGTCTTAGTCTGGTCGGACACACACAGGATACACTCACACATGGCGACAATACTGTGAATGTGACACTTCAGGTGGTCTGCCTATTCGCCTTCAGCCCAGTCGCATGCACATGGGGTCAAGTCACAATGGTGATAACCTGCAGACAGCATGGAAGGTCTGGTGAATTGCTATTTCATCAGGTTACATGTGGCAAAACTCTGTTAGCACATTGGTTGGCCTGCTGATTGGCTGCTCCATCCCAGCAGACTTAATGATAATCTGTGAACAAGGTTTTGTTGGATGTTCCAACACCTGTATGTTGAAATCAGACATGGCACCCACCCACCAACAGCATACTTGATGTGACCACTCCACCCATGAGTTATGCTTCATGTGTTTTTTTTTTACCTATCAGTGTTTTGGGGTAAATCACCTACAATTATAATTTTGTGCCTAATATGATGCTTCACGGCACAAGAATATTTCATGTGCATGCAATGCATGGGATGCAACCATGTGCATGTGAGACACATGCAGTTGCATGGGACACAGTGGCTATGTGTTAGATGTATCTTGCAAAAGGAGAAGAGAAGTGACAGGTGTGGTCAATGACAAAAGGTATCATATGAACATATCAATGAACACCAAAGGTATCATATGAACAACATAGTCAGGTGATCATAGAGCATATGAACAGACTGTGTATTACAGAAAGTGTGTAGCATGAGCTTGTGGGATCAGTTTGCTTCTATTGATTGGAGGCTTAACCTTTAAATATATTGCTTAAATAAACTGCCAAAAATAAAGCTGAGTCTTCTTCTTGACAAGATTCTGTGGGTGTTCACCATCTTTTAAGCTTGTAAAGCTAGTAGAATTCAGCCAGTAACACAGCCTACATTCAGTTCCCTGAGACATCATCTGTATGCTGGACACCAATAACTTCTGGAGGAGGTGGTGGCCAGGGCATGATGTCACTGATTAGCATGCCACATTGGCTGGTTTATCACCACTTGCACTCTTCATGCACAGTCTATTTTCCATGGACATCTGGTCGATGTTAAATGTGATGAAGCTATCCTGCCTGCACTAGGCACTGAGAATAGGTAAAATGCAGTTTCTAACCCATCTCAGTGTGTGAAAGCATTTTTGTCCTCCATAAAAAATGTGTGGTGGGGTTATGGCCTATAATTTTAGGCTAGAGTTAGAAATTCAAATATAAAAATTATGATACAACCCTAGACAGCCTTTTGTCATGAACAGGTAGCCAAGTTATATGGAGAGGTTCACATTCATGTGGAGTTTTTAACTGAAATAGCTATCTTAAAGGCCTTAGATGCCATTCACAATCCTGTCCTTCTTAAGACCTATAGACATGGTATAACAGCCATCAATTGGCTATGAATCAACATTGTGCAACATATGATGACACAATCAAACCATGACACATTGACAAGCATATTTATTCAACAAAAAATCATGATATCTAGAGCAATCTTTTCCACTTGAAGATACACCAATAGTTAAAAGGGAGCTCGCTTTATCATATATCATGCTGGCTTTAATGTCTTCATGTGTCAAACATTCCTTTTACAGCTGGCTGGCCTCTTGACCCAGACTTGACTCTGAGGTAATGGCCTCACCTTAAAACTTAGCACAGTTAAGTTCACATAAGACCATATTTCCCCAAACCATAGTGTTCATCTCAGGGGATTACAGCGAAACCTTTCCACCCAAAATTGTGATGCTCAAACAACCAACCGGGTCACGATCAGGCGAAAGGCAGTTAGTACTGCTGTTGGGCCCAACATGTATGACACGTTTCTCGGAAGCAAACCGACCGAATTATGGAAAGATGACGATTGAGAAGCTATACTGTTCCATACTATCTTGTTCTGTCATAGAATGACCAGCGCGGAGCATGACATTGCAAAGCTAACACCAACCCAAGTGCACTCCCAGCTAGATGATAGTAAACGGTTGATACTCACCCCAAAATAAAGCAATATGTGCCACTTCCAAACGCCCAGACGCCCAACACTGAATACTCTATCACACAAATATCCGCGATGAACCCGGCACCACGACGGACCACCCTTCAATGGTACTTCCCGGCATAGAGTCCAGCATTTGCCGAGATGCTCACAAGAAATACAAAATGTCCAAAATAAATGATATTGCACCAAATTAGTTATACAGCACTAACAAAAATCTGCTAATCAATTATTTACAGAGCAAGATCCGTCACATGTTTAACTGTTTCATGCCGTCATTTCAACATTTTCGTTTGACACCAGCCTTCATTTTAGATCTAGATCAAAGGCTATGCTGGTTTATTACTTCACGTACTCTGAGGCAAATTAGCTCAATTTGGGAGAACATACACTAAATTCTCACGGCTTGGTACTGTCGTTATGGCGTTACATTTGTCTCTACATCATAAAGCGCCATCATTATGCACCAATACAAACGTCATATTAAGTTTATTAAAATTGGCGCAAGGAAGATAATAAAATTTGGCTACAAATAAATGCATAGCCAAGAAATTGGTCTTTTTTGTTATTTCCAACAGATAACATGTCAAAGTAGTACCTCTGTGCGGCACATTTATTTACGAATCTATGTGGTGTTACGGTGCAGAACCCTGGCGCTAAGACATCATTCAATGACTACGGCCAACATCCACAACCCGCCCTCAGTCGGTTGTATTCTGAAAGGGGGAGGTCATGTCTCCTGTCGGTATTACGTGAGTAACGTGCGAGTCACGTGGCCGTTCTAGCAAGCGTAAGGGGCGGAGATTCCGGAGTCAAGCCCAAGATGCAGAACGTCTCGATGTGCCGTTGGCTTACTGGGGGCATTGTCGGCTTCAGATGGCTTCTACGTGGACCGCGGGCGCTGTGGGAACTTGTTCAGCTCTGAACGTGGCACTTGTTTCTCCTCAGTCCTTGCTGCAAACAATGGTTTGTGTGTGGTAGTCCGGACAATGATTCATCCTTTTTGACAGTAGCTTGAATTTACATCAATGGTAACCAAGGGGCAGATTCAGAACACCCTCCTGATAGGGAGAGGTTGCGGAAGGGGGCAACGCCGGCTTGGGCGGCAAAATACAAAAAGGGTTTGGATTTTTAAAATCTCATAAAATTGGGCTTCCTGTGCTCTGAAAGAGTGTTCTGCGGTTAACTTACCTCCCTAAGATTTGCACAGATTGTCCTGGAGGTCCAGGAATATCCCTGATTTAGCCTTCATGGTTACTCCCCCTCTGGACCTGCCTTAATGAACAATAGGCCCCCATTTTGTGGCAGCTTGTGCTGTTGGAAAGCAAACCTTAGTGTGTGTTTTTTTACTTATAGTTGCAAATGTTCATATGATACATTTCATTGTTACACATGTTGCTACTAAACATGCATAATGATGTTGGGTATATGCATCAGCATGCTCAACCTTAGAAGTTTGGCTAATTTTTGCAACTTTCAGATGAATATATATTTTCTCCTCAAGCATGCCCCTTTCTTGTCCTGTGATCAAATGTCCAGCAGAGCTCCTGATCCAGCAGCTTTTATATGCAACTGTAATGCCATTTGTGAGAGCCTGGATGGTGAGTTTGTACATACATAACCATTTCCTTTCTCTTCAGTGATGGAATCCTGTTTGGGATGGGCAATCCCCTCCTGGACATCTCTGCCCATGGTGACCAGGAGTTCCTGGATAAATATGGTAAGAAATGTAGATAAGCCAGCCTACATATATTTCTGTGGTGTCCTCTTTTATGCTTCCACTAAGTTAGGGACATTATTAATTGTGGTAGATATTCACCTTTTTTAACTGAACATATTGGCAAAGGCAGTGTGCATATTTTGTGGATTTAATGGCCCATAGTTCATTGCTTAAATCTAGACATTCACTGTGCCACACTGCATATGCTGTTGTGCATGAAACTACTGCACACAGACATGACTGCACCTGTGCAGTAGTTAAAAGAAGCCATAACAGACAAAGCAGATGAAACATAAATCTAGTCTTCACCTCATCACATAGGGTTATCACACAATTCCCCATCAAAATGCATCCACTGACTCCCATCAAGCAACAGCACCAACAGCATCGCCTTCCATCAGGTCTGAAGGCCAACAACGCGATCCTGGCCGAGGACCAGCACATGCCGCTGTACGACGAGATGGTGTCCCGCTTCAAGGTCAGCTACGTGGCCGGCGGCGCCACGCAGAACGCCCTGCGCACGGCGCAGTGGCTGCTGAGCCGACCGAACGCGTCCACCTTCTTCGGTTGTGTGGGCCGGGACGCCACCAGTGAGAAGCTGAGTGATGCGGCCAGGGCCGACGGCGTCAACGTGGTGTACCAGTACAACGACAGCACACCCACCGGTGAGTGGTCCCGGGGCGGGGGAGTCCTGCACGCGGAGAGAGAGTGATTCGGTGCGGCGCTTGGACTCCGGGGCGGTGGCTGAACTCCGGGCTGCGAGTTAAAGGCAGCATTCCACATTTGTATGGTGTTTTTAAGTAAAATAGCCATGTGGAAGATCATTGGGTGCAATTCACAGCCCCGCCCTTCTGAAGAACTAAAACGCTCTAGTTTCTGAGCTACGCGTTCGCTAAGATGTGCAGACTCTCCCATGCAGACTATTTCAAGGTCATTCAGGAATGCGTGACGCCGTAGCAACGTCATTCAAATCCTGCTACCCCATTGGCCATGCATCGTTCAAATGCATGCCACACCATTGGCCACGCAACAACCTTCAGTGTCCCTGGCCCCCCGGCTGCCGATGCTTCTTACGTAGAAGTGATCTGCGTCCGTAAACGACAGAACGCAACCAGATGCAGGTGGCTGCTGCACGTGGCGTGGATTCCAATAGTCAACATGCTAACTACAACATACGCTACGGGCTTGTATTACGAGGATCGATACAGATAGTGTTCACCTTCTTCACTTCCCGGTTCACTTGTTATGGTTCACCTGCTGGTACCAGCGAGCTTCCGTCGGCGTACGTGGGTTCTGGGGCGGGTCTGACGTGGCGCTGGCGCTGGGACAGATTTTCATTGTGCGGTATGTAGGCAACGTTTGCTGGTGCAGGCAAAGGCGGTTGGTATGGCCAGCCAGGCGCGGCAGGAGAAGAGCTCTCGCCGTAGCATCGGAATACGGTGCCTCCGGTTCGAATCTTGCACACTGCTTACATTGCAAGGTCCCGTTGCGACTATCGGTGCGAGAGGCTCCGATCTGTTTAGCGTGTGTCCTTGAATAGTCTCGAGATTGGTCAAGTGCTGACAGCGGGGATGATCCTTTGGGGCTAATAAGAGGACGCGTGTTCGATCCCTGCTGGGCGCTGTTTTTTTTTTGCCAAGCCGCCTCCTCCAGCTGACGGGGCAGCGTAACGTTCGACAGATGTAGACGGATTCACCGGTCGTAGCGTCGATCGCAGGCGGCACCGCAGTCCCGTGCCTGCCCCGCTACGCGCGAGTCGTGCTGGTACCATGGGGTTATGACCGTGGCCGCTCGCGCCTCCCCCCCCCCCTCTCTTGTGACCGGGCCGGCCGGCGTGGCTCGGATCGGATTGGCCGGCGGTCCCCCTTTGATGAGCGGCTCGGAAGCTGCCGCCGCCGCTCTGGAAGAGGAGAGTCGGCTCTCCGGCTCGCCGCTGGCGGGAAATGCTCTGACGTCACAGCCGGCGGGGTACGGGTGACGTCACCAGGCGCTAGAGTGACGTCACCGGGCGGGGATGACGTCACCTGGATCCATCGTCCGGAGTGGAGGATGTGTTTTCAGCTGTTCCACATGGTAAATGGTGCATTTTACTGGTCATGGACACCACATCCTAGTGGTGTAGGAATGGACCGGGTGGCGGGGCGGCGTAACCGTTGTGCCTTGTTGTGGTGGTATGGATCGAAAATGTCGGCATTATCATCTTTGAAGGTCCCCAATCCTGGGTATAATCTTCGCTGGTCGAGGCCCTCCAAAGAGTGACGTCACGTGCTCTGTGTGCCCGCTGAAGCCATGCCAGGGCACCGCGGAGCCGTTTTAAGGTCGATTCAGACCGATCGGCGTCGATTCATTCAATCGGCACCATCCTCCCCTGTCCTCAACGAGGCCATACACCGCCTATGCATTAGGCAGGCTGGGTTCACCGGGGGGAATAAGACTTATGTCTTTGTAGTAATGGTTCTTTGGTTTCAGTTTCTTGTGCAGCAAGCTGGGGTATTCCTGATTGGTATGATTACCATTCTTCTCAGATTTTTGTTCCAAACAGTTAACGGTGCAGTATTTCCGCAGACTTTAGATTTAATGGGTTTGACGAGAAACCACCGCGGTTTATTGATGGTAGTATTAGGACGTTCCTGTAGGCCAGGGCTTAACGACGTGGCTAATTGGGGCAAAGGTCCAACAGAGTCGCGCTACCGCCGCCCCATCCCAATTGTCCTCGTCGCCGTGTCGTGACCTAGTCCTGTCGGCGGGTCACGACCGCCCCCCCCCCCCCGCCCCCCCCCTCACCCCCCCCCCCCCACCCCTCCACCTGCCGTGAACTGTCGATTGAGTCGGCGGAATCTCTCGTTATACCCCGGCTGCTCAGTTCTCCGCCTCTCGGGAAGGGCCCGTGTGATGGGCCGCCTTATCACGCGGCTCGGCGCTCGAGTGGGGCAGATCGTAACGGAGCGGGGCGGGGGCGTCTCGCTCGTGACGGTGCGCGCGCTCATGTGCCGCTGTTCTCGGCGGCGCCGAGCGAGCCCCCCCCCCCCCCCCCCCCCCCTCCCGGGGCTGTGGCCGCTGGCGGGCGGCGAGCGGCAGCATCGGCAGCTGGCTGCGGCCCTGGGCAGGTATATCAGTATTCAGCCTCGAATTCCCCCCCCCCCCCACCCCTCCCCCAATCCTTACATTGGAAAGCCGCTTCGTCCATTCATCAACGTCAAGTCACATGACACAACGTACACGCGGAGAACACGGCGTCGCGCACGGCGCGTGGCAACATGAGATTAGAGTCCATCTGTCACCAATATTGGGCCCAACTGAAATGCACTCTGCTTGTTCCGCGCTCGAGCGAGTCGATGTGGCGACTCTGACAGCTGACATGAAGTTCAGTCGACGTGTGTTTATTCGTCGGGGCGGGAGCGGGGGGGGGGGGGGGGGCTGAAGAAAGCGCGTGGTCTGGACACAGTCCAGTGGGCGAGTTCGTCAGGCCCCGACTGTCGATGGGCGTCAGCACGTCGGGGGTGTCCCAGTCCTGCCGGGGATCCCGCAGCGGGCTGTCGGTGACGGGAGTGCTCCAAGACAATAGGGCGGCGCGGGGGGTGGGGGGGGGGGGGGGGCACTTCTGTGTGGTGAGGAGGCGGACCCAGACACTGCTCCACTAAACACAGCTTCAAGCATTGGAAACTGCCGTCTTCCGCTCCCGTCCGCCCGCCAGCCCTGACCACTTCAAGAGCACGGTTTCCTGGTTCAAGCCCATCTAAGATTGCGCGGGGCTATTCCAACCAGGAAAGTAAACAAACCCTTGCTGTTTGTTCAAGCAAAGTTAATCCAACAACAGTGAGCAGACATCAGCGCAGGCGTACTCCCACACTTAGATACTGAACTAATTCTTAAAAGCACAAGGCATGGAAAAGACAGTCTTAAAACGCAGGTGCATGGTTCACTGCCCGCCGGCCAGAAGAGCGCGAGCTGACTCCACGCTGACCGATCGCACGATACCGAGGACTTGAAAGGGCTGCCAGTCTGCTCGCCACAGACTTCACAGAGGCGTCTGCTCATTCACCTGGCCTTTGAAGTCGTCCTCAGTGCTGAACCTGGCACATTAAGCGTCACGTCACGTTGTGACGTTGCCCGCTTGATGGCTCGGGCGATGACTGCACCAAACGGGCGTCGCCCGCTCCTGCGAGGCGTGACGCGTGTTGGACTCCGGTGACGTCGTCACGTGCCGGTCCTCTGGCGCTCGACGATGCTTTCAACGCTTGAAGGAAGAGAGGTTCTCACTCCCGAGGGCTTGGACGTTCTTCTTTGTGTTTCTTTTCGTTATTTTCCTTCGCGGGAATTGGACGGGCAAACGATGCCACGTTTATCAGCAACCCCCTGCTCTGCTGCCTCTCGACCCTCCCCCGTCCCTCCTCTGTTCCCGCGTCTTAGTCCAGCCCAGGGCTCCACCAGCAGACAACGCCTCCGCGATCCGCCGGTCGTGGCGTCGGCCGTGACCAGCTGCAGCCTCGCCGGCCACTGTGACCCGTCGGTGACAGAGCCCGGCCGGCTGGCTGGTGCCTGGCGCCCGCCGCGTAAACAGCGCGCCGCCCGGCCGGCCAGGACCGCGCGCCGCCGGTCGGGCTCGGTCAGGGCTCCGGATGACGCTGGCGTCGGTGCCCGTGTGGCGATTCCGTCAGTCGATGGGGAAGGTCATGCCGTCCGTCTCGGGCGGCGTGTCGGCGCCGGTGGCTGCGTTGTCGCGCCGGGATGCGAATGACGTTTTGCGGTGTGGGAGTGAGATCCAATACCGTGCCGCGGTCGTATGGTGCATACCAGATGCAATATAAACAGCTTGTATGCCCATGCAACGAACCGCATCAAGCCGCTTTTTTGGAGACCATCTGAGACGATCACATGGGGTCATGGGGTCACGACGTCATGCGGTCATCAGCAGTACAAACGAATCACATTCCATCGGCGGCTCGTGCCAAGCTGTCGGCCCAGCCTCCTTCCGGATGAGACAGATGATGTGTGTCCGCCGCGGCGAGCTGTATTCTGCCGCTGACTGCCGTGCCGCTGCGAGCCGTGGCCGTACCCGACCGGCGCAGGCTCGTCTCGTCTCATGTCTAGACTGTGACTAGCTCCTTTGATAGCTGGCAGACCGGTGTCACGTGTGGCGCGGTTGTTGTGTCTGGCGGCCGGCTGGCTATTTCCAGCGCGTCCAGAGGGCCGTAACATTTGGCTGTGATGTCGGACGTGCGACGTTTTGATGTCACATCTCAATGACATCCGAAGATCTGACGCTACTCTTACGTTCGAAAAGCCAATGTCACGCCTCACATGATCCAGTAACGTAATACATAATGTAGATCATAGAACACAATGCAATCACGGCAGAAGAACCTACGTCACTTTTGACACTCGGCTCCAGCGCCAGCGGCCTTTTCCCATCTGCCGGGAGGCCGCGGCGTTTGGCCGACCCCGGTGGCGCCTGCTCGACTCCTGTCGCCGCTTCGGCCGGCCGACAGGTGTGACCCGAGCGAGCGTGGTGCGCGGGCCCTCCGCCAGCGGTGACTGTCGACGCCTACCACCACCATTGGGCCGGTTGGTGCCTCTGGGCCGCTTAATCCTGGTCATTCTAGCACGCGTCCGCCGCGCGTGCGTTGTCATGCAACGCATCCTCCGCGCTCGGCTGGCGTGGCGACGTCGAGCCCGCCGGCGAGCGCGCGGTCCGGCCCGCCCCGCCCGTGCAGCAGCGCACGCCCAGTTGTCCTCTGTCGCGCACGCGCTCCGCCCCGCCCCGCCCCGCCCGTGCAGCAGCGCACGCCCAGTTGTCCTCTGTCGCGCACGCGCTCCGCCTCGCCCCGCCCGTGCAGCAGCGCACGCCCAGTTGTCCTCTGTCGCGCACGCGCTCCGCCCCGCCCCGCCCCGCCCCGCCCGTGCAGCAGCGCACGCCCAGTTGTCCTCTGTCGCGCACGCGCTCCGCCTCGCCCCGCCCCGCCCGTGCAGCAGCGCACGCCCAGTTGTCCTCTGTCGCGGGCTGGCAGTCGATTCAATTGACGGACGGACGTGTAACGCAGCACCTCCGGACGGCCGGGTGCCGTCGGTGGTGAGATGGAGCTTCGGTGGCGCGCTGCCGGCTTGCGGGCGACGTGCTGTGTTGTGATTTGATATGGACAGCCCGCACGAAGATTGCAGGTGAAGGTTACCAGTCTGCAGATGAAAACCAGGCGATCAGAGCGCTCCATCGGGATTAATGTTTTATTTTAGTGTGAAGTAATTAACGCACACGCTTGCACGCAGGCACGCACGCACGCACGCACGCACGCAACCCATATATATATATATATATATATATATATATATATATATATATATATATATAGGTGTGGGTGTGTTGGAGCGTCCGTCCGCTCCCGGCTCTCGCTGGCGGTGGTGACAGCTGCCGCCAGCCTCTGCGGTGACGGCCGAGCGCGCTCCTCGCGCCGGCGGTTCTGTCTCCGATACAGACGTCTCTGATAACCTCGCTGACCGGAGAGAGCCGCCGCGCGGCGGGAGTCGATACACGGCCCGTGCTGACACCGGCTGCAGCCGAGCGGTGCTGGCGTCGTCCCCTGTTCGGCTGCGGCTCATGTGGCCGCTGTTTACAGATCGATGCGCGACGGTAGTTACCCTGTTTCTGTTCGGTGTGTGCTGACGCCAGTGTTGATTGCGAGCCTGTCTGGTGATGTCCCCCCCCCCCTCCCGCCCCCTTCTCCGCTCCCTGTTGGCTCCTCCGGGTTGGGTCTGTTTGTGATAGGGTGTCGTTCGGGGTAGTCCCTCTGTTTCTGTTCGGTGTGTGCTGACACCGGCGTTGACTGCAGACCCGTCTGGCGATGCCTCCCTCGCCCCGCCCCCGGCTCCCGCTGCCTGTTAGCTCCTCCTTTTTTGCTCTGCTTGTGATAGGGCGCCGTCCGGTGGTAGTACTCCTGCTTCTGTTCGGTGCGTGCAAGTGGTGTCAATTGTTATAAATTGTTGGCGCCGGGGAGGGAGTGGAACCGACGGCACGACAACATTAGCTCTCCCAAATGTTCGTCCCGCGAAGGATTTGGCCCACTTCATGTTGACAAACGGCAATTTCATGTCTACATTTGGCATGATATATGGACCAGTCCTGTATTTAAGCATAACCAAAGCCATCAAATAGCGCGCAACATGAGCGTGTCTGGGCGCGAGCCGCGCAGACCGCAGCTGCCCGGTACCTGTTCACCGCGTGCTCACGCTGCTGCCGGGCGGCAGGGCGGTGCGCGGTGGTGGTGACGCAGGGCGGCCAGTGTCGCTCGCTCTGCGCGCATTTGGCAGCCGCTAACTGCTTCACGGCCGCCCACCTGGAGGACACCGCCCACTGGGCGCTCGTGGAGAAGGCGCACTACTTCTACGTTTCGGTGAGGCCGGTGGCCGAGCGGCCGCGCGCGGTGGTGCGACGGGAGTGATGGTCGAGATGGAGTGATGTGTATGTGTTGTGTGATGTGAAAGTGTGTGTGCGTTGCACGTGGCAGCTTGCTGTGTGATATGGCAGCCCGCCGTCAAGTGAGTTGTGGCGTTGAGTGCACATTGCACGCGGCGTGGCGTGCATGATCTATGCATGCACGTGTGTCTGTATGCATGCATTATGTATGTGTGTCAGTGTCATTGGGGCTTTACGACGCGCTCAGCTGCTGATACTATATGACGTCGCCTGCCTCTCACCCTGGCAGGAAGGGCGGGCACCGCGGGGAATCGAACCCCATACCTATGCGTTATGTATGCACGTGATGTGATGTATGTGGACGTGATGTGATGTATGCGGACGTGATGTGATATGGCGAGTGATATATATGATGGTGTGATGTATGATGATATAATGTGTGATTACTTCGTTTGGTGTTCATAGGTGACTTCGGATTCAGAGAGCTCGCTGTGCAGAGGGTATCGTGCGTGCTCTGAAATCGCCACCGAATTTGTGCCGATTATGTCACAGGTCAATCTCTCCGGAAAGGGCTACCGGGGTTTGACGGGCTGTACTGCGACACGGCCGCCCGGTCGGGGTGGTCTGTCACTGGCCAGTTACCTGGGTGGCCGTCTGAAATCAGGCGGGTCGAGCTATGCTCCCGCGCTCTGGCTTGTTCTACCGACCCGCCGACCCAGTGTCTGTTCACCAGACCACGAAAGCCGACCTGTCACAAGAGTGTGGCTAACGTTTCTTAAAAAAAATTGCTTAACTTCTACCGGCTTACATGGGCATCGTCCGCCTAGCGAGCTTTAAAAAAAAACACTCAACGATTGCTGCACAGGATTATTTTTTTAATCTCTAGATGTTCTAGTGGTGGATCTAAATTTCACAATTCTCCCGAGTCAATGCGGTTAGAGGTCTCGCGAGTCAGATATGCCACGATTCATCTAATTGTAACGACCTCGTTCTTCCCGCAGGGCTTCTTCCTCACCGTGTCCATCGAGTCCATCCTGAAGGTTGCACAGTTCGCCGCCAAGCACAACCGCGTCTTCATGATGAACCTCAGCGCACCGTTCCTCTCGCAGTTCTTCAAGGACCAGCAGATGAAGGCCTTCCCCTACGTTGACATCTTGTTCGGAAACGAGACGGTAAGGCACCAGGCTGAGTGAAACAGCTGGCCGGTGCTGGGACTTAGCCCCGGCTGGCCTTGCGGTCTCTGGGAGAGCGGCACTGTTGTCAACGGTACTAGAAGCGAAACTGTGCTTAAATGGCCTTACGTGTGAATATTAAGTGCTGTGGTTATCGGTACTGTACACTGACCGGCGTGGGAGACAGTGCAGCCTAAAGGAAGAGACGACACATTCTCCGTCCAAGTCAGCAGACGTGTAGGGAGCTTTGCATCTTCCAGAGGGCTTTGCGTCCCACAGAAATGTAGGGCTCGGCCGATCAGTTTTGGACCAAAATGACGTGCGAATCCCAAACCACAAAAAACAGATTCCTTCATTTTCGGAGGTTTGGTATTTCCCCAACACTGAGTTGTGAGGCATCGTGTGTGTCGGTAGATAGGTCTCAATGGTCATGGGGGTGGCATCGTACATCTTGCCGTTTACCTAGAAGGATTTTTCACAGTTTTAGTTAAAGGGATGGACTTTGTATTTTCGTTGCTGCACATCCTCCTAGCTAGCAGGTACAGAAGTTTGAATGAATTAAGGTGAGAGAAATACTTTTTATTTACAGGCGCGGCATATTTGCAATCTGTTGAAAAAGCGCGGCTGTGAAATCCGCTGAAATCACAGGTATCAGGGGGGAGGGTCAAAATCTAAAACACAAAACCCCTTGCTGCCGTAGCGAGACGACAAAGTATCAACATTCTTTACCAGCATTTTCACCAACGTAGTGTTTTGTGCTGTTTTATTCCCACCAAATTGTCCATGCCGCCGTGACCTCGGCTGTGACCGTAACTGTGACTGGCTGACTGTGACTGTGATTCACTGTAATTTCAACTGTAACCATGACCGTGACCGTGGCCGTGACCGCACTCACTATAACTGTAGCCGTGACTGTGACTCGCTGCAACTGTGGCCGTGACCGTCACCGTCACCGTGACTTACTGTAACTAACTAGGACCATGCCGGTGGCTGTGGCCGTGGCCATGGCCGTGACCTCCCGGTGGCGGCGCCTGACCCCGCCCTGCGGTCTGTCGCTGCAGGAAGCGGCCACGTTCTCCGCCGAGCAGAACCTGGGCACCACTGACATCAAGGAGATCGCCCTGAAGGCGGCCGCCCTGCCCAAGGAGAACACCAAGCGCAGCCGCATGGTGGTGTTCACGCAGGGCGAGCTGGAGGTGGTGGTCGCCCTGGGTAGGTCGATAGAAGTTCAAGTGCCGAGGTCGTGCAGTAGATGGCGCCACGTGGTGAATATTTGTGATTTGCTTGATTCGGCAGTTTTGCGGTGTGAACGTCAATGTATGGCGCCCGGCATCTAGCTGCCTTGGCGGGCGCGGTTGATCAACCTTCGGGTTGATTGCTGACCTTTTAGTGGATTCAGCAGTCATTGGCCCTGTTAATAAGTTCCAAACCGATATTTCTCAGCCCACTGAAATAAGCTTACATTGTCCTTGTCAGTGACGAGATTTCCCGCTGGTCAGTGTGAGATCTGTTATCTTGGGCGCTGTTGTCACTTATCACATCTTGACCTTTCTAATCCAGCCTCTCTTACTATAAGCCCATGAATCGTCTTGGATATGTGCCAGTGCCAGGTAAACGCGACTCACGAATGTTCTCTACAGCGTCGCTCTGCTTCGTTGTGTGCCCCCCCCCCCCCCCCTGCCGACTTTTGCAAACTGGCAGGGAGCAACACCCGCGTTGTCTGCGTGTAATAACTGATCAGCGAGAGCCCTCGCCCTTGAATCGAGGGGTCGAGCGTTGGCCTCGCGCCTCAGGCAGCCAACCCCACCCTGACCTTCACGAGGTCTTGCGGACGGCGGCGACCCTGGCAGCTGCAGGCGTCGGTCAACAACAATCCGTCACGATTGTCACCTGTGTTGCAGACGGCAAGGTGCAGACGTTCCCCGTCGGAAAGGTCGACGATGTTCTGGACACCAACGGCGCTGGTGACGCCTTTGTTGGAGGTACGTGCCGTTACGTTGCCGACCGGCAGGTCCATTAGATCTCCATGAACTGCGGCGCCTTCGGTCCTTCATTGTCAGCTGCACCTGGCGGGCGGCATGAGTCCTCGTGCGAAGCTTGCAGCGTTCGTCTCTTCTTACTTCCTTCGTTCTGCCTTCCTTTTCGCTTTCACTCCTTGCTTTCTTTCTCCCGACCTTCTTTGTTTCGTCCCTTCTCCTTTTTCCTTCTCCTTTGTTTGCTCTTTTCTTCTTTTCTTTTGCCTTCCTCCGTCCCTCCCTCCCTTTGTGTGTCTCCCTTTTCTCCATCCCTCCGTCCCGTTGTCCGTCCGTCCGTCCGTCCCTCCCTTCCTCGACGCATTCGTTCCTTCTTCCCGGGGAGATCCGGCCGTTGTGCCACAGCTGCGCGCCCTGTCGTCTGCTGCACGTGTTAGTTGAGACTCGGCGCGATCAGACAGAACGGAGCCGGCGCCTCACATTGGAACAGACTCCCCCAGACTGTCTGCTCGGCGATCAGACAGAGCGGAGCCGGCGCCTCACATTGGAACAGACTCCCCCGGCCTGTCTGCTCGGCGATCAGATGTCGGCCGGACCCCGAGCCGTTTTTGCTGATCTGACAGGCGTCTGCCTCAAAGTTTCACAGTCACTGACATAGATACCTGGGAAGGCACATGTCCCGGCATCTAGATGCCTGCTGAGTTTTTAGTTAGTTCCGCGATTTTTTTGCTTTATGTTTTTTATACCGTACTTTTGAATTAATGTGGAGTAGCTATGTCATACTGTGCCGGCATGCAGCTGACGGCTGTCACTTGAAAGCTGCTGCGTGACTGCTCGCATTCGAAATCGTCGAACAAACGTCTAACCTGACATGAGCGCAAATAACCTCTGCAGTCGACGCGCCTTTAAGCCCAACCCCTCCCGCATGTCGTGCCGTGCTCGTGACCTCCCACGGCCTCGTGGGTCGTGACCTCCCCTCCCCTCTCGGCAGGGTTTCTGGCGCAGTACATCCAGGGCCGGCCGCTGGAGGTGTGCGTGCGCTGCGGCGTGTACGCCGCCCAGGCGGTCATCCAGTGCGAGGGCTGCACCTTCCCGGAGCGGCCCGAGTTTGTCGAGTAGCCGCGCGCGGCGGTGGCGGAAGATCGGCGGCTCGGCGGCTCGGCGGCTCGGCTCGACCCGACTTTGGCTGGCGGCCCCGCGGCTCGACGTCGGCCGAGCTTCTGGCGGCTCCGGATCGACTCCCGGGGGGCAGGGGGGGGGGAGCTGGCCAGAAGATAGTTTGGGGGAGACGTTGAGCCGTCTCCTGGTCCCCTGGTGCGGTGCGGCACGTCAGGAGGCGTGTCCTGGTGCGATCGGGGCTCGTCCTGAGTCACGCGTGATGCCAGGCTGATGTCCTGCTGCCGCCTGTTGTGAGGTGCACTATGACTGCACGTCACGGACAGCAGTCAGGAGACACCTCCTGACGTGGGGCGCCGCATCAGGAGCCATCACCACGCAATACAGCGCCTTCATCAGCGGGCGTCAGCCCTGCGTCGCAGCTGTTCTCCCCAGGATGGCTGCTTGACGTCAAAATTCGACATTTCACCTTCACTTGGACATTCGAGGGACGTTAATGGGTTACGAATGGGTTTTGTTATGCTGTTAGGAAGTAAGTTTTAACGTTTTGGCTCCGCGTGGACAGTGACGCCACTGCACTCAGCTGACTTCGGGGCGTGGCCTGCGCGCTGCCGTGACCGCATTTGATGCGCGTGGGGCCGACTGGGCGGGGGTTCCTGGCGGATGCGTGGCGATGCTGCAACGGCCAGCGCTGCGCCGGCTGGAAGCGGAGGGTGAGGGCGGGCGCGTCCTGTGCCCATAGCTGGAGGCATTTGCATGACGGGCGCGGGGAATACTTCTGGGTGGGGGCTGGGTGGTGGCACGCGTACCGTCTCTGGGATATTCGCACCGTACAATAATCTCTGTTCCGTGCAATGCCACGTGCGTAATACGATGTGAGTGCTAGCGACTGCAGGGCTCAAAGGTGTTCGGGGCTGTTCAGCCACGTGTGACGTCTTGCGCTGCGTTCTGGCGGACTGCACTGGTCTTCGGCAGCAGTCGTAGACTTCTCAGACTTTTTAGACTTCTGTCTTACTCACTTCTCAGACTCGTTCAGACCTCTCAGACTTGTTCAGACTTCTCATACATCTAAGACTTGTTCAGACTTATCATACATCTAAGACTTGTTTGGACTTCTGATGCATCTCCGACTTGTTCAGACTTCTTGTACTTCTCAGACTTATTCAGTTTTGCCCAGACTCGGCAGCAGTCTCGGGGCGCGTTGTCTGTGTGACTGGACGTATCGGGGCCACTTCATGCGCGGTTCCGTCCCTACGCCTCAAAGAACCCGGCATCAGCTTGTCACGTGATCTTGACCAATGTCCACACGCACTGTTTGGCCCCAGCGGCGCATAATTAACTGCAGACGGACTGTTGTATTGTTACCATATCCCTTACCTCGTCTGGCATTTTCAAGGGACCCCAGGTATTTTGGCGTATTCGCGAGGTGTGCGCCGCGCTGGTGCTGATCGCCCGCGCGCGCTTCGGTTGCTGTTGGCCCGGCTGTTGCAGACATTTTCCAGAGGCAGGCGCTTCGTTTGATGCGTTGACACAAGCGCAGATCGAGAAAGTGCCTTACCTCAGCGTCGTCTGGTGGTTTTCGTGGTGTTTTCGGCAGATTTGTGCGGAGAAAACTGTGAGATTGCACCGCATTTTGGAGCGTGCGTATCACGATGGCGTTTTTCTGCTTGCGCATGTCACTAGCTGGTGCACTTGTACGCTGGGTGAACTGGGGCGAAACTTGGGCATTTTTTCTCCAATACATTCCCGTTATATCCTTTTTCTACCTCCCCAGACTCCCGAAACATCCTGCTACAAGAAGCCCTGCCATATTGGCTTAGTGCGGCAAGTGAAACTTCATACCATGTAACCCGCATTTTTATTTTGTTTGTTTGAATATAGCAGGAACGCAGACAACCGGCGCGCGTGGTGATGCTGTGGGCGAAGAGCATGCGACAGCCTTCCTGATCAACTGATCCCTGAAGCACCCAGTGAGTTGGCCCAAACCGAGGGGGGCCAGGCTTTTACCAATATACTCAGCGCGGGATATCTCGGTATCTGAACTTACTGGAATGCACTGCCTTGGATTTAGCGTCGTGGCATGAATTTGCGCTCAACATCGGGAAGTTGAAGTTCCCGAAACGGCCTTCCCTGAGGAGCATTGGCGACGCCCGGTAGCCAATTTGCAGCATCAAAAGTGCTGCCGTTTTTGCGCGACAGTCAGGGCCAGGGGCTTTTCGAACGATACTTCCGTCTCACACGCTGCCTCAAACACCTGTTCTGTGCACGAGGCACGGCGGGCCCAATGTGTGATCAAGTTCCTCTCTGACGGTTGATCGGCAGCGCACAGATGCTGCGGCCGGTTCGGATTGTACAAAACCAGCGGCCTCACAAACCAGAAATGACTATCGCACGCCCTTGGGCGTGCAACCAGGTGCCTTCCGCGATCTCGAGTTTGCTTCAATTTTTCGCGATGCACAGACCTTGCTTACAGGCGTCTTTTCGCTTTTTGCGATGGAGAATGCCCTGAACTTGACCCACGCGGCCAACATACAGTAGAGCTTCTCGCGAGCAGTAGAGGAAATGCTCACGCTCCATGCTTGACGTGAGTGGTTACTGCATATGAATCATATAGCCAACGTTTGCTTCACGACGCTGTTGAACCAGTACCTCCTGCTACATCGAATGTCCTTAGCTCAGCATAAAATTGTGAGCTTGCAATGCCGCAACACCATGTCAAGGCATTTCCTCCTTACACCGAGATCGAGTTACATATACACAGCAGTCAGTTTCGGACATGAAAACCATCCCGTCAGGGTCCGCCGAAGCAGCTGACGCGCTCGAAAAACATGCCAATGTCGAAGCTGGCACCAAAGCCACACGCTAAACCATCCGACTAACCCGGGAGCGCCCTGAGCTCACCGCCCGGGACATCTCGGCAGCGCGCAGGCACGGGCGCCGCCGGCGACGTGGCTGACAGGCGAAGCGAGCCTCCCGAAAAAAATATTGAAATCCAACGCGTTCATCGCACTGCAGGAAGAGAATGCCCCTGTCTTATTGTTGCATCTCAAGGCCCCCTCCGCGGCGGGTGCAGAAAACTGCCCTGCTTGCTGCGCATGCACTGGCGAGCCCGTTACTCTGATCCAGCATGCCATCACGCCGAAAAAAAGAACGCAGCTCCCAATTCGTGGCGTTCGTGACCGTTCCACTGCGACCTGTAACACACCAGCTCCCCAACTCCCGAGCAAGGCCGGGTCAGCCGGTCTGTTCAAGCTCAGAGTTCGCCAGACCGAGCACGAACAGATGCACAACCTTGTGTGGCAGCACTCAGTGGAACTCAAAAGCTAATTCCAGGCAACCACTCAGTTCCTCCACATCGAGCCACCGGCAAAAACTCACTCATCCCCCTCCCCCACAAGGGCAGAATCATCACTGCCCGCCACCTGCTCTCGAAACTCTACATCCAGGAACTCTCCCTAGATGACAGCACTTACCACCGGCAGCCGTCGACAAAAGCCAACAAAATGGTCGAAACGATTTGTATTGGATGAGGTGATGTGCGGGCCGAGCCCAGCAGTGTTCCCATGCACCCCGCGCGCAAGCGTGCACACAAATCCAATCATCCGAGCGCTAAAATCTCCCGACGGACTGGGCAGTACACAAATTCCGAATCGCCGCTATAAAATCACCACTCTGCGCGCGCGCGCACCACAAACCGAGCGTCTAAAACCCCGGCGCGCCGCCGGCTGACGCTCGCGCCTCTCGCCAGCGCCGCCCGCTTCTGCGCATGCGCGGGGCGCCGCCCGGGCCGATGAGTTTGTACATGAGATGATGGTGGGTGGAGTGACATCTACTTGTTGCCCGATTGTGTGGGTCCGCCCTTCTTGCCGATCAGCGACTTGTGGATGTGCGGGATGACACCTGGCGGGAGAGAGGGGCGTCAGAGCGAGCCGGGTTCGGAGATGAAAATCACAGGTGGACGTCAGGGGTCACGGGCAAGGGTCATGGGCGGCCGGCAAGGGTCGCAGGCGGTCAACAAGGGCCGCAAGTGGACAGCAGGGGTCAGAGGTGGTCAGCAGGGGTCGGGAATGGACAGTACAGGTTAAGAATGGACAGCAGGGGTCATGACGGACAGCACAGGGTCACCTGCACTCAGCGAGGGTCAGAGAAGAGTGACCTCAGACCGCCGTTTCAGGCCGACGTCGACTCGTCAACCAGAAAACGTTTACTTGTTAGGGCACCAACTGAGCCAAGGAAGCCTTAGAGCACATCATCTGATGACTGCCACAGATAAATAAGCAAACTACCTAGACTAGTTGCATGTGCAGTACATGCACAATGATGCACACACATCCAAGGTCAGGTTATTGCCAGCGAACGCTGGTCTTCACGAGGCAGCATAACCCAGCTGCACTGATCAGCCAAAGCTCAGTCTGCTCCTGAACCCACTTCTCTGTCAGACCCGAACACACCCCCAACTCAGCTGAATCACAGTCCCAGCAACCCCACCCCACTCAACCAGTTCATCTTGACACCCCACTGGAGCTCAGCCCAGCCCCCGACCCTAGGACAGGTCAGGTCAGGTCAGAGGTCACGCCACTGACCTCCGCCGGCGATGGTGGCCTTGATCAGGCTGTCCAGCTCCTCGTCGCCACGGATGGCCAGCTGCAGATGGCGGGGCGTGATGCGCTTCACGCGCAGGTCCTTGGACGCGTTGCCGGCCAACTCCAGCACCTGCGGCACGCCGATAGCGGTCAGCTGATGGCGGAGGCGCCAGCCGCAGCCGCGCCGCTCAGGAGAGGTGGCAGAGGCGCTGCCGCGGCCGCGATTGCGCACGGCCGTTCTCCGAGGAGCGTCATAGCTTTCATATAAAGCATTCCAGTTAAGATAAAACGTGAGGATCATGATCCAATCCACCCGATGATTGGTTGGTGACCAATTGAGAGATTGATTATCCAATGAGTGATCAATGACCAACCAAATGGATGAGCAATGATTAATCACATGAATTATGCAATGTGAATCGCGACCAGAAAATGTCCTTCCGCCATGCCCGATGATAACAAGAGTGCCAGCAGTGAAGTGGTGGTGACAATGTGGCATTTGGAAAGCATAATGAATGAGCTGCGACATCGTGATGACAAACTATCACCTGCTTATCAGTCTCCAACAAGGGCCCCCAAAAACACAGAAACCACCCTGGCCAATGTGCACCACGTTGGGAGCAAATGACATTTTCGTGAACTTTTCCGATATCAGGCACCGTGACAACGCTGATTTCGGTTTAAGGGCGCGCTTACTACCCAGTAGCATGGCACCCATATAAGGCGACATGAACAACGAAGTACCACGGGCGCCATCGTGAGTGCTCCACCACCAGGTCCAGCGGTGATGTACTGCGGCCCGACAGCAAGGCCCCTGGAGCGGCGCGCCGTACCTCGGCGGTCAGGTACTCGAGGATGGCGGCGCTGTAGACGGCGGCCGTGGCGCCCACGCGCCCGTGAGACGTAGTCCGGTTCTTCAGGTGCCGGTGAATACGGCCGACCGGGAACTGCCGACGTGATGACGCCCGTTAGTCCAGTGCGAGCAATGCCCATTCCTGTCATTATTTTTGGACACAATTTAATAGAAAATTGTCACATCATCTGCGTATTTCACGCTGAATTTGTCATGCTCGTTGCGTGCATGCTCACTCCGCCTCAATTTCCATACCAGTGGGGGTATGACCAGTACGCCCCAGGTCACATGGCATTTAAGAGACAACTAGCACCATACACTCACAGCATGTAAAGCCATCTGCAGTTCTGTTCGGTAAACGTATCAGAACAAATCAACTGATGGACTACATTAGCCAAACTTGTGCGGAGGGTAGAGGAGCCTTGCATATGCAGTGCTCTGGCCATACCCATAGCTGACCATGTACACAATGACAGTGCTGACATTACTGCACAACCATCTTAACAATTCCTCCAATGGTTTTGGCAGCATGGCAACAAGTAGCTTTGTCACTGACAGTTGGCATGATATCAATGCATAAAATGCACTGTCCCCTGCCACAATGGATTCATGTCCTGAAGTATACGTGATAAACAATAATTGCAACTGATGGTCTGGGCTGCATGATCTACATGATCATGATCTACATGCAATGCTGGTAGTGTGATAATGTAATGTAACACAATAATGCAATAATGTAACAATAATGCAATGGCCATAATGCTTTGGTGGGCAATACCTTTGGCTACATGAGGTGTGACAACTGGTAGCATGAGGTCAATGACCTAAACATCTTTGTTGCTGGAGTCACTGGAGCTGCAATGTGACATATTGTATGATGTATGTCCCAATGATGTTCATCAAACATTGAAATACCACAATAAATGGGGTGTTCCACACTTGTATAGTCTGAACTACAACAGCCATCTTGAAGATGTCAGTGCTGTTCACAATCCTGCCATTAAGACCTAGGCCCCTCTAACTTCTGACCTATGTGCCTGCAAAAATAGGGAAACATATCATGGAGAGTATTTCAGTCACCCTGGCCTTTGTCATGTCATTCAAATCATCCTATTCCAAACACCACACAGCAATCAAGGTCACAAAATATAACTGTTGATGTATTCATACCTGGCATTTTCAGCTCAGTTTCCTGACAGAATGGACATTAATTGGCTCTCAATCAGTGTTGTGCAAGGTCCAATGATCTCGTTGAACCATGACATATTATGGAACAATGTACTAAGTAAACTGTGCTGTTTACAGCAATCTTTTCCACTTACAAAGCATGCCAATATGCTTAAGTTAGTTTGCTTCATCACGTCTGGTGCTTGCTTCAATATCTTAAAATGTGAAACATGCTTCCTATGTCATTAATACCATATTGCAGCCTGCATTAATTCTTGGACAGCAAACAACAATCCAGCAGTTCTGCACAAACTGTACAGGTGAGGCACAAACCAATTGTATTAGTGCTTCCATCTATGAATTGCAAAATCTGTCAGCACTAAGAAAACCCCGGTGTTGCATGGTCCCAAGCAAAGCGTGGAATAGTGCTATCTTCAAACACATGATGTATGAAGATGGAAGCAACTCAACCACACTCACTGGCATTCATCCAATTAGGTGTTGCTGAGATCTGCCATGGTTTACTGACTGGCTACTTAGTGTTATTGCATGTTAAAAACCACTAAAATAGGCTTGGATTGCATCACTTGGTGCTTTATATCATCTGACTCAGACATTTACCTGATGTCCACAACAAAATGTAAGGTGCTCGAAACACAATGCATCCATGTGAGTTAAATTAACATGTCTGGTTTAATATCAAATTCATGCTATCCATTACATTTTTTTAAAGAAATGCAATGCATATACCCCAATACTGCAATTTTGACAGGGGCACCCATTACCTGGCCCACAAAACCACTCACTGCACTGCATGCCTATGTGCTATCATTAGCACAGAGACACACAATACATACTAGTTAGCAAAAACTTAGTCTGTGGCCCTGAAGTGTTGTTTTCCATTTACCATGCATAAGACACTACTGAACACTAAGCTAACAAAGATGCAAGGCATAAACATTTACCACAACCTTGCACCCCAGGTCACAATTTGTGTCAACAGGAAAACAGCTTATGAAAAATGTATTTGAAATTACATGTATGTGGCCAATTGTGTAAACGAGTATTTCAACATTTAAGTATGGTCAAAATGCGCCAAAAACGTCTACCACTTAGCAAATCACAAAATGCAAACTACAAATGCGGATTCAACCCAGACATCATGTGCAAGTAAGTGAATTTGATTCAACACGTCCGGTTACCTGAAGCCCCGCCCTTGCAGACCGGGAAACAGCACGAGCCTTCGCCTTTCCAGAGTCCTTGCCGGCTTTACCTCCTGCCTGGAAAACAATGACACAAGATGACACCAAGCTCCACGCACAAATAACTCGAATTATACTAATGAAAGAGGAAAACGTCGATCACGCACCGTCAAATGGACTCACCATCTTTGCGATGCTAAGCTCCGCGACAGCAACCCTACGGGCACCCGAACTCAGATACCGCAAAGCCGCTAGTAACGGAAAGCTACTGATTTCAAATGATGACGTAGCCACACGGTCGGCCAATCATCGCAGAGGAGGGTCAAATTTTGGCGGGATTGCACAAGCGGTAATAAAATGACAAAGCAAATTCAACGTACGTACAAGTTTTTTGCATGAGCTACGCGCAGAACGATTGATCCAATTTCGAGAGCATGAAATCTTTCAAATTCAGTGGAATTTGGGGCCTATTACGGCACAGAATAGACGATCCCTGCAAAATAAAACAGACGACGACCTGCGTGCGCCTATGCGACAAGTAATAAAAGCACTTGTACGGTGTTTTCATTGCTTGTTGTTTTATTTGGGGGGAAAATATTTTTCGAATGAAAAAATAGGTCACTGCTGAAATTGAGATTAGGAAATGATGTTGTATCTCACAGCCTTCATTGAAATACAAAACGTTCTAGGACTGATGATGTTGCGCCGTTATTGTCACCAATAAGCGTAATGTGGCGCATGAGAGCATGCAAATGCGAGTGTGCATAAGACAGAGGGTGTGTGTGATTGGGTGGCTGATTGTGCCAGGATATATTGGGTGCATACTCTGTGTTCGGCAAAGACCGTGTTTTTTATCTTGGTTAGTTGGTAGGCAGCGTCTGCCAAGGCGGTACAAAGGAACTCGGAAGGGTGTGAGGTGAATTACGAAGTGTGCTTACACCATGCTTTATTTAGGGCTGCTTTAGTGGTGCTGTCTCAAGGGCTGCTTATTTTAGGAATATCAACAACCCATTTGAATCATGACTGCTGCATAGTAAAATAGCTTACTTTGTGATAAAATGGGTTTTGCATGACCTTTTTGAGTCAATTTGCACCAAATCTCCAAACCATCACTGCACCTCAGTGTGTAATAAATGGGTCAGGGTGTACGTTCCTACCTAACATTAGAAAAAATCATAGTACACCATTTGTCATGTTTAAGGCATGACATATCATAAATAATCTCAAAACAGGTAGAATCATGCTCCTACCTTCGAATTTCAATAACTTCGATGGCGGGCCCCCGAGCGCCGCGCGCACCGCACCGCCCGGACTCCCCAGCGCTGTTTCCGCATTGCCGTTGCGCAAACACAATGTTTCTGCGTACTAAGAACTGTACAAAATGTACCGGACCAAAGTAAACCATTCGTCGTGTTTAAGGCAGGACAACCATAACCTAGCTGCGAACCATAAAAATATTTACTAAACATAAACCATATTTACCATAACCATATTTACCATATAAGCCATATTGACTGCGAACTATACTGTAAACCATAACTATAATTATAAACTATAATATATAAACCATACTATAACTATAAACCATATTTACTGCGAACCATAAGGGGAGGTTAGGTTAGGTTAGGTTAGGTTAGGTTTAGGTTTAGGTTAGGTTAGGTTAGGTTAGGTCAGGTTAGGTTAGGTTAGGATATGTTCTGGACTATTCTGGCCTGCATGCTTCATAAATGTACCTAAACTTGATAAGAAACGATTTTGGTTGCTTTATTATTGTTACCTTGGTCCCATACATGTTTTATGGTTCTTGATGAGCAGAAATATTGTGCTTTCGCAACAACGTAGAAACGGCGCTTGGAAGTCGAGGCAGTGCGGTGCGGGGCGTGCGGCGCTCGGGAGCTCGCTATCGTATTTATTAAAATTCGAGGGTAGGAGCATGATTCTATCTGTTTTGAAATTATTTATATGTTCCGCCTTAAACACGAGGAATGGTTTACCTTGGTCCCGTACATTTTGTAGAGTTCTTGGTAAGCAGAAATATTGTATTTACGCAACGGCAACGCAACGGCGCTGGGGAGTCTAGGCGGTGCGGTGCGCGCGGCGCTCGGGAGCTCGCCATCGAAGTTATTGAAATTCGAAGGTAGGAGCATGATTCTACCTGTTTTGAGATGATTTACGATATGTGCCGCCTTGAACAGGACGAATGGTGTGCAATGATTTTTTCTAACGTTAGGTAGGAAAGTACACCTACACCAATAAATGTGATCAATGGCACCACATCATTTTCATTCAATCAGAAGGCAACTTTGCATTTGAGGCCTTTGGCCCATGCTCAGTTTAATCATTGACTGCCCTGCATAGTCATCCTGCATTCATCAGTCAGCAAGATCTCTTATGCTGTGATGAATCACAAAGGACACTCTGTTGCTGGCATTGTTTTGTAATTGTATTTTCAGAGGTAAGATGATACAGTTTGACTTTCTGCCATGCTCTCATGGGGGTTGATATGATACATTATGAATAAGTGGTCTTTGTGGGCAATTTTATTACATGTATGTATGGATGTGTAATTTTCAATTCACATCCAGCTGTGTTTTCGTGCAGTTGTATTTTCCTGATGTGGTAATGTGTGTGATGAATATTATTATGGCATGCATGGTAAGTATAGTAATTATATTCCCAACTAATTACAGGGCTTCAACAGTTCTGGCAGTACAAACTCCTTTTACCAGGGCTAATTGCATTTCACTGTTTTCTTACCTGCTGAGCTAAGATGGCAACAGCCAAGGGCTCCAACACCTACAATCGCCAGAATTGGGAAGATTCGGTGAGTTGCTGCAATGCCTGATAATGCTTGTTATGTTGCATGTTTTGTGTGTTTTGTACTTGAAATATAATCTTAATATTCATTGTCAAGTTTATGCATGCAAAATTTGAATGATGCATATGTGCTAACTTGTGAGGTGGTTATTAACCCCAATGCAGTTTGCATGCCTTGAGCCACCTACTGAGCTCATGGGTAGGTTGATGCATCTGTCTGTTTGTCTGGTCTCTGAAAGGGCATATTAATTGAAAGACTGTAAAATTAAGTTGAAATTAATTTATCCTGACTTCATTTTACTTAGGTTGAATTTGGTGGTACCTGTAGGTAAGTTAACAACCTCAAAGCACTCCTGCAGAATGGTTAAGGGTGGATTTTGCTAATAACTGTAACATCTTTGATATGGTAGCTACATCAGCCTATTAATACCACAAAATTCAAAATTTACTGGGCTATGAAGGCACAGCAGTATATTTCCTAGAATGGTGCTCAGGCTATGAAATGATGGCAGCCATTCTGTGCCAAAGATTTCGTCATTGTAACAAATTATATCAAAAGCTCCTAGCTTGCAGAATAATCCATATAGTCCAGAATGGTCCTCTTGACTCCACTGGTATTGCCCAGATTGAAGAATAATAGGATTCTAAGTTTTAATAAGGCCTGCTCTCTGGTCAATGCTTGCTTGCTTTCTGCAGTCCCCACCAGTGCCCAGATATCTTGTGTGCCATGAACAAGCATAGGCTGAACATTGCATTGAGGGTGTGGCATCTTATATGCCTGAAGTAAAACCTGTTCAGCCTAGAACAACTTTGTCAATGCCAGAGGAATGCATGTGACATCTCCACCAATTGCCAGAGACTGTAGCACAATGCTAGATGAAGGATGCTATGTAACCAAATGTTGTTTGGCCAATGCTGGCTTAACAGGCCAAAGTACAAAACATGTTTTAATTTTCATGAACTGGCTAGCCTGTAACTTCTTGTATCTCTGTGAACATTTTAAAACAAACTTCTCAGTGAAAGCTGCTTATATTTTCTCTACAGCTCAGAAATGTGTCATTTTTGACAAGGTCATTTTGAGGAGGAACATTCCGTGATTGCTCCCATTTCTCTCTACCCTGGCTGCAGTATGTCACACCCATAGGACCAGTGTGTAATTGTTTGGACCCATGTCAGGGTATTTGGTGTGATAGCCATGCATGCAAAATGGAACTGAATCTAGGTGACACCTAGTAAAAAATAAATGACACTGATCATCAGGTATATTTGCTTGTTTTCCTGTTGTTCAGCTTAAGAGTTCACAACCTGCTGCATGGTGTGCACATAGTGCTTTTCATGTGCAATGAATCAGCTGTCTTGGTAAGCAGTCAGTGTGTATTGTCAATGCCAAGTCTGTTTCCTAACATGCTTCCCTCTCTCCATCAGGAATTTCCCATACTGTGCCAGACATGTCTGGGGGACAACCCCTACATCCGAATGGTGAGTGTGACCATATTAGCCCAAGATGGCTGGTTTAGCTGGTTTGGCTGGATGGCTGGTTTGTAGACAAATACCATGTTGGGGGTTTCATGGAGTGCATTGCGTGCTGAGATTGGGGATGGGTTGCAAAAAGAGGATTCCTGAAGGCTTGTGGTCTTTGTGATTTGATGTTTTGAGTGGATTTTGTCAACATTTTCTGTAATTCGAGCTTGTGATGAGGTTTGTCACACCATTTGGCCTGCTGGCCTATTCTACCTTGCTCTGACCTGGGTCGCTCACCACCAGCATCTCCTACATTGCACACAGCCAACACTGCACACTTGGTCCAGGTGCCAGTTTCTGGCCCTGTTGCCTCTGTCGGGTCTCGAACCCACGGCCCCTTGGCTTGCTGTCTGAGCCGTGACCTTCCGGCCGGCAGACGAAGGAGAAGTACGGCAAGGAGTGCAAGATCTGCACACGCCCGTTCACCGTGTTCCGCTGGTGTCCGGGGGCTCGGATGCGCTTCAAGAAGACAGAGGTGAGATGGCGGACACGACCGGGGCCTGCCGCTGGAGGGCAATGGGCCGTGCGTTCCTCCACCTAGCAACGGGCAAACGGGCAACGGCGACAGACGACGACGGGAAAGAGCGGAGCAGCCAGAGAGAGAGAGAGAAGTTGGAGGAAGGGGCTGCAGCACTCGGGTCGCTTTTTCCTCGCGACGACAAAGGGTTAATGAAGTGATTTCCTGTCTGAATGGTCGTTGGCAACCCCGCCCCTTCACCCGACTAAATGCAGTTCGTTCTGTGGGTCGTGGCTGACTGGGTATGCGTTTCTGTTGGGGAAAACGTCAGTATTGGCCACCGTGCAGGGCGATCCAACCTATTCCCTGGAATAAAATTTAGCCTATGTGATTACATAGTCAGCAGAGAGGATGCTCGAGTTTGCAACGTGTTGGGCCTGGGTCTCATTCCTTCGTTTCCTGCGGTGTCCGCCGTCGCTGCCAGAGTGAGGGGGAGGCGACGCTGTATCGCCTCAGTAGCCTGGTGCCTAGTGAGTCCCCAGTGGCATGAGCTGCATTTGAGATACGTCAGGCGTGGGTCAAGCGCGTCTTCTTCGTGTCGCGTTACAGGCGTGGGTCATATGGATCATTTCAATCATGTGTCATGTTTTCCACGTGTCACACTGGCCCTCTTGGTGTGCCAGACATCTGTTGTCCCACGTGTGTTTGGTATTTCTCTCATGTCAAGTGTTGTCACACTGTGTCGTGTGTCACGACCGGCTTGACACGTGTCAGTCACGTGCGTCACTGCTCACACTGGACACGTCTCCAGTATGTCCGCAGTCTCGCGTTTTTCAGCTGTTTCAGTCGCGCGCTGGGCGCCTCAGACATTTGTGGCGTTTCAGGTGTGCCAGACGTGCGCCAAGCTGAAGAACATCTGCCAGACCTGCCTGCTGGACCTCGAGTACGGCTGCCGATCCAGGTGAAGAGACAGTGGGGTCAGGGGGAGGGGAGGGGGCGCTGTCACACGTGGGCTGCGGATGCTCCGTGGAGCCAGCGCGTCAGCCATGCCTATATATTTTGAGCTCTCCTCCGAGCAGGGTCACAGGAGTGGGGCTGAAAAGAACGTGTCATTTCAATATTGCTGAACATATGACATGCTGATTATATATATATATATATATATATATTATATATATATATATATATACAATATATATATATATATAGATATATATATATTCATTTGTTTTTATTGTGTGTGTGTGTGTGCGTGCGTGCATGTGTAACTTTTATTCAATGCAATACCAAAAGCATACTTGTTTCTATCAACATGCGTGAGATGGGTCAGGGAAGTGCAGCATGTGACTGTGGACTCTACAGCCACTCCAACACTCGCCATATTCGGCACAACACTTCGGCATGCCGTTTCCTTTGTGTCGGACCCGGACCTGGTGACGTGTCGACCCGGACCCTGGTGACGTCATATTGACCTTGGGTGTCCTCTGCAGGTGCGGGACGCGGCGCTGAAGCTCAAGGAGGACAATTCCCAAGTCGGACGTCAACAAGGAATACTACATCCAGAACAAGGAGCAGGAGGTGAGGATGCCGTCTTGGCAGCACCCTGCCCCGCGCGGGGTGTCCGCGCCCTGTGGTCGGCGCGAGCGCAGGCCGGCGAGCGCGAGCCAGCGACGGCGAGGCGGAAGGGAGAAAGTAGTGGGTGGTGACTGAGAGGTTGTTGGTTCGAGGCCTGTTGTCGGCTGGCTGTTTTCATTGCTCGCCGCCAGCAGTTGCGAGGCTGCGATGCTACTGGCAACAGCTGCATCCTGCCTAGCACAATCGTAAGATGCTGTGGCGAAGTAGAGGCATTCAGGACTCAAAGGTCGAGTGGTCAGCGCCTTGGACCTCCGCGTGGGGGCCCAGGTTCGAATCACGGTTGCGCCATGGCCCCTAAGTGCTAATGTGGCAGGTCCAGTTGCTAGTGCTCCTCGAAAGTGCGCGACGACGTACGTCTCGTTTCCTTTAAAAAGGATTTGGGCCGAAACTTCACAATCAGGTTGGCATTGGGCACCATATATGATCCCACTGATCTAACCATGTTATCATGATCATTATCATGTCATCATGTCATGCCATCATAATCATGTCATGGTCCCACCCATTCATAATAATTATTAACCGTCCATCACCATTGGACCCCACCACGACAAATTAGCCCAACTGTGACTTCCTGATCCCATCATGACATCTCGACTCCGCCGGAACATAGCAAACCCATCATGATTGCTTATGCCAAGCGTGGATTTCTGATCCCATGATCACCATGACCTCGTGACCCCTTGACTGTTTGACCCCTTCATGGCTTATTGCATGACAAAATGATGATGCTGTGACTTCTGGACCCCTCTGACCCACTGTCCCAGCCATGATCCCTCAACCCCCTCTTTGACTCGTGGTTCTGCTGTGATATTTTAACTCTTATGTGGCTCCTTGACCTCGCAGTAACCTGACTCCACAGTGACTACTAAATCTCTGGCCTCACAACCCCACTGTGACCTGACTCCCATGGCCCCTTAACCTCTTTGACCCTTTGGCCACTTTTCGACCTGACCCATTCATGACCTGACCACTGCGTGATCTGAACCCTGCGTGACTTGACTCCTTTGTGACCTGATTCCGTCGTGACCTGACCACACCGGGACGTAGTCCCGACGTGACCTGACCCTGACGTGACCTCACCTCGGCATGACCTGACTCCGGCGCGTCCTGACCCGGCCGTGACCTCCGCAGCTGCAGGGCGCCAACCCGGCCGGTGCGCTCAAGTCGGCGGCGCCCAGCGACCTGCTGCTGAAGCTGGCGCGCACCACGCCCTACTACAAGCGGAACCGGCCGCACATCTGCAGCTTCTGGGTGAAGGGCGAGTGCCGGCGCGGTGAGGAGTGCCCGTACCGGCACGAGAAGCCCACCGATCCCGACGACCCGCTGGCCGACCAGAACATCAAGGACAGGTGGGCGGCCACCATACCGGCGATAAGGGACGGGCGGGGTGAGGGGGGGGGGGGGGAGGCGAGAGGTGCGTGGAGGATGAGGAGGGAGGTTTGTAAGGGTGGCGCAGTTGGGGAGTGGGGTGGTTTGTTAGGGAGGTTTGCTAGAGCGGCACAGGTGGGGAGTTAAGAGTTGCCAGCCGCGGGGTACGAGAGAAACACGCACAGATTGCACGGCATGTCGGAGAGGTATCCTTTAGAAGGCCTTAGGGGTCGCATCGCCTGTCCTGTTATCAGTGCGAGGGCTAATTGTTTTGCTCATGTATGGCGAATCGACGCAAAAGAACGCCCTCAGATTTCCGTTTAGCTTGCAGGCTCATGCAGGGCGCCACATGCGTTTGATGTGCGTAGCGACATGTGCCTGCGTTTGTTTGCAATACGATGTATTTGTAGTCCGTTGTCTCGCGTATCCTTCGTGTATCTCGCGCTATAAATCCCGCTACGTGGCGTGGTTGGCGCCGCACTCCTGTATCGCTGTGCACCACATATTCGTGTGATATAGCACGCGGCATCCGAGTGTGGTGCTTGCCGTCACGTCCGCGTGCAACATGCACGTGAATGGTCCGCCCTACATCACCCCGATCATCATCCAACTGTCACCCAGTCACGTGGCTTGCCATCCCAGTTTGTGCGTGACGTCACTTCCCCAGTGCGGTGTGCAAACGCGCGGGCGCGCACCACACACACACACACACACACACACACACACACACACACACACCACACACACACACACACACACACACACACACACAACACACACACACACACACACACACACACACACACACACACACACACACACACACACCCACACACACACACACACACAACACACACACCACACACACACACACACACACACACACACACACACACACACACCACACACACCACACACACACACACACACACACACACACACACACACACACACACACACACCACACACCCACACACACAACACACACACACACACACACACGCACGCACGCACGCACGCACGCACGCACGCACGCACGCACGCACGCACGCACACCTCTGCACGTCGCGCGGCGCGCCGCCTCGGCGTACCCAGTGACGTCACGCGGGCACCAGTGACGTCACCCTCGTCGCCAGGTACTACGGCGTCAATGACCCGGTGGCGGAGAAGCTGCTGCGTCGGGCGGCGGCCATGCCGCACCTCGAGCCGCCGGAGGACCGCAGCATCACCACGCTCTACGTCGGTGTGTATTGGCGGGGCGGCGGCCGATTGCCGCGAGGCGGTGGTCGGTTGGGAAGGGCGAAAGGTCTCGGGCTCGAGTCCCACCGCTGACTGTTTTTTTCATTGGCCGCGGTGTGTGCTAAGTGGGGAGACTCGTGTGACATTGGATGAAATGTGGTACATGTGGCATAGTCATCACACGTTGTAACGGACATGCACATCTGGGCAGCGGTATAATTTGGAAGTGATTTTATGAAATGTGTCCTATATTTGACTGTACAGTGTGTGGAGCACTCTTTTTACGATGATTTCTATGTTCAGGGTTACGTTCAAGCAAGCTCCGGATTTTCCCAGAAAAAAGCATTGCTTTCACCTGTTCGACATTGGCGTAGCTTAGTTGAGCTGTCACCCCTGCCTCTCCTGCAGCGTCTAACCGTCTGACCGTGCCCCCTGTACGCGTACGGCGGGTGACAAGCACCGCTGCGTGTTTCGACAGGGAACCTGGGCGATTGTGAGCTCATCACCGAGCGCGAGCTGAAGGACCACTTCTACCAGTACGGCGAAATACGCTGCATTACCGTGGTGCACAAGAACCAGTGCGCCTTCGTGCAGTACATCTCCAGGTGGGTGGCGTTGAGGCGAGGTGGGGGGCTGCGTGCCCCCCCCCCTCCCCCTCCCCCCCTTCCCGAGGTGACTGGGTGCGCTCACTGGCCGTGGTTTGGAAGGGTTGACCATTTGCGGTTTGTGATGTGGGTGCCTGCGACGTTTCTGTGCTGGACAGAAAATTGGGCGGCATTTGCATGTTGTTTGAATGACAAGGGGAATTTGAAATACTCTCCCTGGTATAGTTTTCCCCCGGATGTTTTCCGCTGGTGTATAGCTCAGAAACTAGGCGGGTTTAGGTGTTAGGAAAGGCAGGATTGGTAACAGCACCGGAAAGTGTTCGAAATTGCTTAGTTCAAGACCCCATATAAATCCGGAGCACTCTGTTTGAACTTGTCGGCCTTCTTTATGGTATGGCCTTTTCTCCTGACAGCGTTGTTTGTCATGCTTCTGATCCAGTGCACAGTCCTGATAACCTCGTCTGCCATCCCTTTAAATCAACGTACCCTCCTGCCAACCCCTTTCAGCCGTCCAGCAGGCTGACTGACCCTTCCTGTAGCCGATCTGAGCTGTTCTTACCGGCTACCTCTCAGCCAGGCTCGTGAGCTCGCTGCACCCGCCGCCGGCTGCCCGCTCCTGTCACACGTCCTCCTGCAGCACACGGCGGCGCGCCCCCGCACCTCACGCCGCACACAGCACCCCTCCCACAGGTGTCTCCCTGCCCCCCCCCCCCCCCCCGTCCCCGTCCCCGTCCCCGTCGGCTGACCGTGCGGCCGCCTGGCGGGCAGGGCGTCGGCGGAGGCGGCAGCCGAGGGCACCTTCAACAAGCTGATCATCCGCGGCCGCCGGCTCAACATCAAGTGGGGCCGCAGCCAGGGGCGCCAGGGCGTCGAGGAGACGCTGACGGGCGCGCCGGAGATGCCGCTCGAGCCCGTGCCAGGTCGGTGACCCCTGCCGCGGCGCGGGGCGGTGTCCCCTGCACGCCAGCGCCGAGGGGTGTGCTTTGTGAAGTTCTTTGCGCGCGCGGGTTTCGTGATTTGTGCCAGTCGGGTTGGTGGTAGTGTGGTGGTTAAGCGGTGCGTCTTGGAAATCAGAACGAGCTGGTCATCTGCACCCCAGAGTTGCCACATCCGATGTGGCGCGGCGTGTGACCTGCGCGCAGGACATGTCAGACGGACTTTGTATCTCGCGTCCCCTGTGCTCTAACGGCCCGCTGCTGACCCATTGCCCTGCACCTGAGCGCCGTCGCACACCCTCATCGCGTGTCCGCGCGCCTCACCGGCGCCTCTGGCCGCCAGGTCTGCCGGGCCCGCTGCCGCCGCCGCCGATGGGACTGCCGCCGGGACCGCCGCCGTTCCTGATGCCGCGGCCGCCGCCCGGCCTGGGCCCGCCGCCGCCCGGCTTCCTGGCCGTGCACTACCCGTCGCAAGATCCCAGCAGGATGGGCGCCCTGGCCGGTCCCAGCCAGCCCCGGCGGTAGGGCGGGCCTAGGAGCGGCGTCGGCGCTGGTAGGGCGGACCTAGTGGTGCGACCGGCGGTGGTAGGGCAGGTCTAGCGTCGATGGTGGCGACGAAAGGACGAACCTGACCTCGTCGGTGGTAGGTCGGACCTAGGATCTGCTGGCGGTGGTAGGTCGGACCTAGCGTCGCTGCTGTCGATTGTAGGTCGTGCCGCAATCGCCGAGTGCCGCCACCGCCGGTGACGTTGACGAAGGAACGCTGCTGTTACCTGCGGCGAAGACTTGCGTTGTCGTTGACGCGGTGGCGGCGATGGTGGCCCTGGGTCACTTGGCGCCGGTTGTGGGAAGTCAGACCTAACATCGACCGCAGGCAACTCTTCGCCGGCCAGCCTCGGCTCTAGGGCGGACCCAGCGTCCACCGCCGCTAGGTGGCGCCTGCGCTCGCAGCCCGTGGTCAGACCCAGCCAGCCAGCCACGGCGGTGCGCCGGCCCCGGCGTCGCCGCTCCGGCTGTCGCGCGGAGCCACGAGGACGAACTGACTCGACTGCGGGTGCCACCGGGGAGGCGCCGGGCTAGCGGACAAGCGGCGGCGGTGCTGGCGGGCGGCGACGGAGGGTGCTGGAGTGTGCACGCGGCTGGGCGGAGGGTGGGCGGCGGTCACGGCGCGTGCGCAGTATCGGAGCGGGAGTAGTGAGGAGCGTACCGCTGTGAGGGGGACGCTGAGGCTCTGGCGCCACGGGGGAAGAGGCGACGCGCCGTGCGAACATCTCTACATACACACTGTGTTTTTTATACTTAAACTACAGACGCGCTGGGCCGATGTGCACGTGGAGAGCGCGCGACTCGACATCTATCCGGCGAAGGTGGGCCGCCTCGAGCGTCGGTGCCGTGACCTCAGGGGTCAGGAAGGACGCTGTCCAAGGCCGGGGTTGGGCCAAGGTCACGCATCGCCACCGGCTGCGGCGCCTCGGGCGTGTTGCTGTCCCACGCCGCCACGTGCCCGTGCGGCGGCGTGTTTGTGGTGCGTGCGCTCTTCCCGTGCGGCGTGCGGGGTCCGTGTCAGCGTTATTGCGGTGTTCGCGACGTCGTGGATGTGTGTAACGTGCGCGAGCTCCAGCTGGCGCGTAATCTGTGTGCTGTCGCCTACGTTGTGTGCGTGTGTGTGCGTGTGAGGGGCAGCGTGTAATCGTGCCGGCTCGCATACTAGCGGGCTGGGTTCTCGCAGGTCTTGATATGTACAGCGGATCGGTCCCGCCGCTGGATAGAGTGACAAAAGCAACATGTCGACGTCCGGTACTGTCAGGCTTTGCTGTGTTCGATGCGACGCGCCGTGCTTGCAATGCCCGGGTCACCGCGTTCGTCGCCGCGTACAAAATACATCCTTCGACTGAGTATTATGCTTGGCGGCCGTGGTTGAGAAACTGCGTGGCACTCGCCGTGAAGGGGGTTGTAAGGCCTGGGCCGCGGCGGAAATGGGCGATATATTTGTAGCGATGTGTGAACAACTGATGTTTCCGTACCCCTGGCTATAAGACGCCTTGGACGGCGCCTTTTCTAATTATTTGAGTTCGTCGCTGTCACACTTTGGAGGAGCCAGATTACTTGAGAATTGGTCGGCCCAGAATGAGTCAGTGGGTGGAATTGATGGCATGCAAATCTTTAACTGCATCCATCGCGTAAAAACGCAGGCATTTTTAATGGGAGGCTACAACAGTGAACCTGGTTTCGTGCCCGCATGAATCGCACGTTTGAAACCTTGAGACCTTGTCACTTTGAGACCTTGAGACCTTGAGACCTTGAAACTTCAGACCGTACGCTTCAGAGCACTCTCCTCCGGACGGCATTGTTCGACGCCTCCTCCGTCGAACGCCGGTGTTTCACGTCGCTACGGGTCAGGTTCACCGGCATCTGGTCATCAAGTAGGTTGCCCGGTTCAACCATTCTGTGTTATACTGTTTTTCATGATGAGCGTACTTGGCGTTTCCTGGGATGATTGAATGGGGGACACAGATTTTGCGCATGCAGTGTCAAGAAAATCGCGCCCGGCCAAGCTGTAAGCAAGTGCCTGATGTACTATGGAGCACTATTGCGCTTTTTGATCGCGCGATCGTGCTTGTTTGCTGAAAACACAGGCGCCTACCCCCGGTGGCTGCAAGGGTCGGACTTCGGGTGGCTTGGCCGCGCCCCTGGCTCGCAGCATCGTCCGTAAAGGGGTCACATTCAAGCAGTAATCTGCGATGGCCTGTTCACAACTGAAATGCTTGGGACCGATCCTCATGCTGAGCTCTGTGGGGACAGCCCAGTCGCAGACAGGGTTGGCCACCTGCGCAGATATAGAAAAACCGTCCTTGCCGTCCTTCATCACACCTCGCCAGCTCAGCTCACTGTATTGGAGCACTGCCCGGGGTACATACATGGCGTAAACACGAGATCACAGGGATGACGTCACACATAAACAAGTGCACATCTGGTGACGTCATCACAAAGCAGCTCCGGGCGACGTGGCGGCACTTTGATCGTCTCGCGCGGCTTCTGCTTCCAACGGCCGCAAGGATTTGGCTACCGCAGAGCCTCGTCGATCTGCCGCTTCCTAAGTCTGGGTCACCAGCGGCCTCAAGGGTTTGGCTACCGCAGGGCCTCATCAACCTGCCGCCCCCCAGGTCTGCTTCACCAGTCACTTGCTGGCTCATATTGTCCCTAGGATGACCTAGAGGACAGGGAACTACGCCCAGGGGTACGAGGAGGTAGACCCAGGGATGCAGGGGGCGCGGGAGCACAGACAGCGTGACGGACAGGCGCCGGCCCCATGCAGCACTTGGGCCTTCGATAACAGAGCTGCTTTGGCGAGAGAATGGACAGCGCTTCGGATTCCGACCCCGCGCGTTTGTTCCACACAGACTAGCGATGTCAATACTCACGCATTCATCGGACAGCGGATAATTAGTGATGACGAGAAACAGAGCACTCTGCATCTCGCACGCTGCCGGGCGGGGATACATTGTGAAGACAACTGGCCCAGGTGCCTTCGCGCAGTACGTGCGGCGGAAAGCGCATAGCGCGAGGCACTCTGGACAGGCCGACGCTACATCAGCCTGGCACATGTTTGGCATCTCTCCCCCGAAATCCGGGAGGAACCACTCGTCGGCGCACTGTCCACACACACTCGATTAAAAGTTGCGCGTGGTCGCAGCCGACGGCCAACGAAGCATCATTTGTGCCCGCCTTCCTACGACACAGCGCATTTTCGGTTCAGCTGACTGCTCGCCTGATTCTTCTGCTTGGATCACGTCATGGTCGTCGCGGCACGCCGGCACAGGGTGTGATCTGGTAGGCGTTATCATCACCTGGACCGTGCGATCGCCACGTGCACTTCACAAGCGTGCCATACTGCCGACGCACTCATTGTCTGGCTTTGGCGGAGGCATCGTCTAATGACTCGCGAGTATCGCACGACATAGCGTTCCCATGGGATTCCTCGCATTTGAGGGTTTGTCCATGATGGCAACCAATAGCCAGCCGTACCACTGTTCACACGTCGCTTCCGCTAGCGCCACCGCAACGCAGCACAGCCAAAACCCCAGTGTCACTTTCTGCCGGTAGATGTCGGCAGCGTCGCCTACCGGCTCACAGCGCGTCGTTGCCGGTGGTCGGGCGGCGTGTCTTGTGGTCCGCGTTGCCAGTTCCTGTGGTTCAGCACGGGCGCGTCCGAGGGCACGATGGGAACGCGCGGCGGCACCGGCTTCTCAGCCTCCGGCGGCACGATCACCGCCGGCCGCCGCCGGCTGGGCGCCCTCGGCCGAGCGACAGCAGGCGACGGGCGGTAGCCGTCGGGTGGGTCGGCCCGCTCCTTCTCTCTGCCCCTTCCCCTCTCTCGCTCCTGTTGCCTCTCTCTTCCCTTCTCCCGCTCACGCTGCCGTTCTCTTTCCATTTCCCTCTCCCTCTCCCTCTCCATCTCCATCTCCATCTCCATCTCCTGGTTCCTCTCCCTCTCCTTCCCTCGTTCTCGCTCTCTTTCCCTCACCCACTCATGCTCCCTGCCGAACTCCCCTGGTGGCGGCCGCGCAAAGCTGGGCTTCGGCGGTCGCTCAACAGATGGCAGCGCCGACGTCGGCCGCCGGCCGGCGTGGAACAGATGCGTGACTGGCAGGCACTTGCAGTCACAGTGCGACGGGAAGAGGAACTTGTCCATGTAGATGGTGTCGCAGCCGTTGCTGTCCCTGTCATAGACGGGCATGGTGCGCACAGTGTACTTTTGCGTACAGCGGCAGCCGGCGGCGCAGCGACCCTGAGACTGCTCCTCCCTGAAAACGAGCCAACGTTAGCGGGCAGGCAATCGGTGTCCAGGATTCCGAGCCAAAAAGTCTGCGGCCGATTCTCGCCACCCCAATAACCTAGGATGATGATTATTGTTCAATCAGAACAACTTATCAAAAATAAGCCATTCCGTAAGTGTCAAAATAGTTGGGCATTTTATCACAATAAGTTCTTATTTCCTTTAACGGAATGCTTCACATTTGAAGATTTTGAAATAAACATCAGATACGATGAAACAAGCTCACTTGTTATCATTGTTATACCTTTAAGTGGAAAAGACTGCTCTAGACCACACAATATCTCTGTTTAGTAAGTATGCTCCTAAATGTGCCACTGTTTGATTGCGTAATCTCACCTTGCACAACGTTGATTGAGAGCCAATTGACCGCCGTTATGTATGGAAATTATATTGACGAACACCAGATATGAATGACTCGACCAGCATATTTTTATTTGTATTGACCACCGTATGGCTTATGAAATGGCAGGATTTGAATTACCTCATTATGACGTCATTAATGTCAAGGTGACCTTCAAATACCCTCCCAAATTACTCTCCTACATCTCTGCTGCCTTTAAGTTTAAGAACCAGATGGTCTTAGGTCTTAAAAAGGGTATGGCCATGAGCTGTACCTAGAGGTCAATATGCTTATTTCAGTTCAAAACTCCATACAAATGTATATATATATATATATATATATATATATATATATATATATATATATATATATATATATATATATATATATACTAACAACAACTTGTTATAAGTAGTGAAAACAAACACAGGGGTCGCGTCCCCATGATAACAACATAACGTCTCTAACTTTTGCCGTTAATATCATTGTCTTGGATACCAGCCGAACTACAATCGAAGTGCGCTGATCCAAAGCCTTTGTGAAACCCGGGATACGTAAGCAGCTGTCCTGCATCCGTCCCCCAGTTTTCTGCAAGCTTCAATCTGCCATGCATCCCCCATTTGTAGAATCGTGCTTGCACTTTAGCTAAACGGCCGAATGCCCCAGCTCACACCGCGTGAAGCTCGCCCAAACCTAGCCGAACACCCCCGGCTCGCCAGGGGATACTCACACACAATGCTCCATGTGGATGAAGGTCTCGTAGTTGGGCATGTTGATGAGGGTCTTCCACTCGTATCGAGTGTTCCTGGCGAAGAATGGGGAGCGTACTTCCTCCCGGTAGCTGCAGGCCGACCTGCCAGGCACAAGGTCACAAGGGGTCAGTCAAGAGGTCAACAGATGCAACGACTCGGCGAACACCCTGATCCCAATCCGTCTCCGCTAAACATGCGATCTCTGTTCTCAATTCCATTACCGCAAAACACTTGCCATTACATTTGTATTTGCAAAACGTTTTTTGCAAACGAAAATCGTGACAAACAGACAGAAACCGTTAGGTCATTCCGAAGACTCGTCAGATACGACGCATGGCAGACCGTAACGGTTAATCGTAAAGCGACAATTCATCAATGAGTACCGCAGGAATGACAGGTGTCAAAAATTGCTCCTTGCTTGTCAACGTATAAAAAATTAAACTCAAAAGATGCTTTTCCGGAAGAATAGCTGGTACTTTCCGCGGTTTTTGTCCGTTCATTTAGTCGTTATATATAAGTTCATTGACCTGATGTAGCTAACAATCAAGACCCTATGCTAACTAATACCGCACAAGGTAATTGTCATGCACGTCCACACCTATTCATCGGGAGGTGCATCACCCGGGAACGAGCACCACATAGTCATTTCGGTGCATGTGGCAGTCCCGCATAGCCAAAACATTTCATTCCTGGGCGCTGCACCCTGCCAGTAGCTCACAACCCTCCTCCCCGACCGAATCGTTCACTTACTCTGTGTACGGATCTGGCGTCGGTGTCGGCGTCGTTGTCGGCGTCGGCATGGACGGCCGCGGCGGAAACGAGGTTGTCTGCCGCACAGTCTCCCAGGCGGTGACCTTGGTAACGTTCGCTTCACCGTGCTGCCGGTAGGTGTCAGTGACGTACACCAGCTCGGTGAAGCCGTCCAGCTCCGGCTCCCAGGTGGTTGGCCGCGGCGGCGGTGTTCGGCGGGTGGTCACGCGCTGTCGCGCTGGAAACGTCGACGTCCTGCGGTTAAACTCGACTATGCTCGGCGGGCGTGCCACCAGTCTCTCGGCGGGGGGCAGGACCGGCGCCGGCGATCTCTTAATGGGCCGCGTGGAAGCGAGGCTGTCGGAGTCGGCGGTCGGCGCGTCGGTGAACGTCGGAGTCGTCGGATCGTGCGTCGACTGTCTCGTCGGTTGGTAGTAGCTCACTTCGGAGGGTAGGTTCTGTGTGTTCGTTTCCGTGTCAGAAGGGCTCTTGGTGGTCAGTGTCGACGGCTTTAAGGTCGTGGGCCCGACGATAAGGCCGTTACGTGAGGTCGTCGGCCCTTCCGAGCCTGCGGTCGGCGTTGGGGTCGCTTCCGTAATTGAATCTACCTTCTCAAAAGCCTTTCTAAACTCCAGTATGTCTTTGAGGGCCTCTTTTGTCACGATTTCACTGGAATGGTCGGTGAAGAACGAAACCAGGATGGCCATATCCTCCTCCTCACTGGCATTTATCTCCGGGCTCTTTGAGACACCCTCGCTCAACCCAACGCCACTGCCCTCTACAGATTCGTCGATCAACGTCAGGTCCGTCATGTCGCCGATAGATGTCGTGTCGGTCGCCAGCACCTCTTCGTCCACGAGATCATCGAGGCCGTCTCCGGATGCCTCCCAATTACCTGGCGGCGGCCCGATGTCCTTCTTCTCCCGCACATTCTCCGTGGCGACGGCGACGGCGGAGCGCCCGCGCCGTCTCCGCAGACTGTTCGACACGCCGCCGCTCGAGTCTCCTGGCGGGAAGCCCGGCGCCGCCGCTCCGTCGGCCAGGTCAGAGGTCACTCGCGGCGTGCTCGGGGCAGTGCCGCTGTCCGCGCGAAGGGTGCTCTCTTCTGCGGCGCCGTTCCCACGCGGGGAGTTCGGTGCGGAGGCGCTGCCCCTGGGCGGGGTCTTTGCGCCTGAGGCGGGCCTTGACCGACTGGCGAGCGCCCGCTTCTTTGCCTGACTGCTGGATCTGCGCAGGTAGTTGTCGATCGCCTCCCTGCCAACGGAAAACAACGGGAGCTCAGATATGGAAGCTTGTGCACTATTCATTAACATTGTGACGTGACAGCTGTGGTCCGTAGCAAAGGTTTCGGCGGTGGTCCCAACTGATGTGCTGGACAACTACATACACACAAATAAACAGCTCAATAAAGCTGAAACCAAGCAATGCAAAACACTTCAGTAAATTAATCGCATGTCAACATGTCTAGAAGACAGCCGATTGTCTTCCGCGTGCTATTAACCACCATGCGGTGCTCAGTAACTACGGCGAGAACAAATAGGAAGATGTGTACCACCTTCAGCACCTGATAACCATGAGCATCTTTGACATACTTAAATAATGGACACGAATGGTTCTATAACTAGGCGGCATTCAGATTAAATACCGTAATACGACCCATAAAGTATATGCAACTATTTACAAACGACATCAAACCGATTATGCTGGTTCGGAAACTGCCTTCGCGCTTCAGTGTGTTAGGGAAAAGTGGGGCTTCCCAAGTCAGTTTAAACAACGCGAAGCAGCGAATTAATGTGTATTGCCTGCAGACATGCATCGGAACCACAAAATGGATCCGGCCAAGATTCTAACCCTGTTATTAAAGCAGCCCATGAGACCCTGCATCTAGTTTAGGGATCTTGCCGCATGTCTGGGGCCACAGCATTATCGAAATGGGCGCAACACTGTTTGACGTCAAGCTAATGCTCTCCCACTACATATGCTGGCACACTGAGGATGTTTGGACGCTTGACTAATTGGTTCACTGAACCAACCAGCCAAGCTCCAGTTCATTGAACCGTTGGCTTGTGACTAGCTAAGCAATTGCATCCGTTTCAGAACTGCCTATCAGCCTGGCGCATATATCGATCCTCTCCGAGGAAAACCCTCCGCTCCCTCACGTGTTTTGTCCTGTTACTGATGAATGCCCCCTTCATAAGCATTTTTCAGCGTGGCTTGAGCACCCCCCGAGCACCGTCCCCGGTAAAACACCCGGGCAACAGAACAAGGGCAAACTCCGACTCCAAGTAGCTGCATCATCGGGGCTTTGCGGCGCGCCCGGCAGCCGAGGCTGTGCGACATCGCCTGCCTCTCACTCTGCCAAGAACGGCGGCCACGGCGGGAAATGTGACCGAGCATCTCTAGCTCCCCCGCCGTTCGGTTCAGTCACTACGCTGCCACAGCCTGGACCGAGACTCACCACGGGTAATCCGCGCCAGGTTCGTCGCAGAGCGCGGCGGAACTGGCGCTGCTCGCCTGCCGGCAGCTGCTGGGGAGCTGGGGCTTCCAGCGGGGGCTGCCGAGGCTCTTCCCGCCTCGGTTCGTCGGACCGCAGGTCAGGCTCTGGCTTAGGCTCAGGCCCTGGCTCTGGGTCTCGCTCTGGCTCTGGCTTTGGCCCTGGCCCTGGCTCTGGCCCTCCGTCGTCTGCAGCACCTGCGGAAATGAAGGCGGACGTGTCAGTGAATAAGAAATACTAATGCAGACGTGCTTGAGTGTACTTGAGATGTGTGTGCAGACGTGCATGAGCGTCCCTGAGACGTGTGTGCAGAGGTGCTTGAGCGTCCTTGAGATGTGTGTGCAGACGTGCTTGAGCGTACTGGAGGTGTGTGTGCAGACGTGCTGGAGTGCACTTAAGACGCGTGAGCAGACGGGCTTGGAATACGGGTCAGACGTGTCAGACGTGCTTGAGCTTCACAACTGGGTTTCTGGCTGATATTTGTGAGTCGAGGTGTACCGGTGAACCCTAAAAGCGCGCCTCAAAAAACCCAAAAGCTCCGTCTGCTGCGCCATTGGATCCATGGATGGGGGGGGGGGGGGAGAAAATGGGCAGGAGACCTCCAGAGACCGTGGAAGGAGCCAATTTCGGGAACAATATTCGCATGTTATTCTCAAAGGTTTTTACAGTGTTATTTTAGAAATCGGAAGTTTTCCAATGCCCGCTCCCAAACGGACTTCGCTCCCTCCCAAAATCTTGCGCTGGCTCCGCCCGTGCGCACAAGTCAGCATCAGCGACCGCTGACGTCACCGTCCACTGACATCAGCGGCCTCTGACGTCACCTCTCGCTGACATCAGCATGCGTCTTGCACGCTGATGGCGCAAGGGACAGGTTGGCCGGGAGAAAGTGGGGAGGGGGTTTCCAGCTGACCCGGAACCCGCCGGGGGTCAGGATCCGGGCGTCCTCTCACTTTCGGTAGCATCCGTGATTGCGCGCGCGGTGACGGCAGTTCGGGATGACCATACAGCACGGTCGGGTTCGCTGGCGGATGGGAGTTGTCGGAAAATTCTTCAGATTTTGGAGAGAAACCACTAGATCCAGCGGATGAGGCGGAGGGTCCACTTCATGCAATGCTTCATTGAGCTTAGATACATCGCCAATCAGAAAAGAAGGTATGAATAGAATGCGTCAGACGTGAGATCTATACCGTTAGTGCAGGAATCAGATGTGACTTTGCAATATGTAAGTACCCAAACCATTGTTCACCCGGCTACTTAACCATACATGCCTTGAGGCCAGGCCCGGGCGCCCACCTTGCCCCGTGATTGAGTACACACCACGTGAGGGCCGCTCTGGCGCCGCCCGCGATCGCCCAGGGCTCAATCGGTGACCTGCGCTCTAAAAGAGCACGTGTGACCCTCTTCAGGCGCCGGAAGTGAGTCTCGGGTCAGCGCCAGGTCAGGTCATGTGACAGCGGCACAGGCACGCTATGCCGCCCCCCCCCCCCCCCCCCCCCCCAATGTCGGGGCCGCAGCGCCCAGAGGCCCCAACATTGGGGCCTTCGGCGTTCGACTGTATTTCTTTTCCACTGAAAGCGAATGTAGCTACGCAACTTACGGGCACCGAAGGATATGGTCGGGGCGCAGGCGTGTCACAAGCCGAGTGAAGGTCTCCTGTAGGCGTCATGCTGCACGTGCGATCTGTCTAATCCGGTGAAGTCCCGTTAAATAATCACAGCCCAGTAGCTTTGCGCCATTTTAACAGGCACAACGTGGCGCCAAACTGAAACATTCTTGAATTAATGCTGCTCGTAACGCTGTTCCAATTAATACGTTCACAATAATTACATTCATAAGGCAGTGCAAGTTAGCCAAAAAGTCCAAGCATGTTTTAACATAACACACGTTCAGTGACATTGAGTGATCACTTGGCAATGACTGTAACACAGCCGTCGCCGCTGGTAAGAGCTCGGCGGCGACGCTGGTGGCACTACGTACGCTGCACGGAAAGTGGTGAAGATGCTAGCTGGCGAATATGCTAGCCGGTGAGCCGCATAGGTTGGTGCCGCGCAAAAACGTGGATAATTCGTGGATAATCCCGTGGAAGTCCCGTGAATAGTCCCGCGGTCACATTTCCATGCATGATCACTTGGATAATCCCATGGATAATCCCATGGATAATCGTGTGGATAATCCAGAGCACAATCTCATGGACAATGTCATGTATAAGCTCATGATATTCTCATGGATCGTCCATTGGAAAACCTGGTAATGATAGCTCCGTGGACAACCTCGGAGATAATCCCGTGTATACTCATATGGATAATCCTGTTGATAATCCCATCGCGCAATGGCCACCGGGCACAATGACGCCTAGGTGATCGGCGGCGTTTTCGTGACGTGTCAAAATGCAGGCAGGACAGCCTGGCAAACGGAGATAGTGTGCAATGTGCGCCTAGAGTGTTCTTCTGGTCACTACGAAATCGAGCGGCACAAATGTCGATTTTACTACAGCAGAGTAGAATAATTCCGCAAAAGCAAAACAGCCATTCGTTGCCATATTACCCATGCAGCTAACCATGGCAATAGCGAGGCATTCCTAATCTTTGCAAGGTCTCTTGTGCAAGGCCCAGCCTTCTGACAAAATCCTCGTGATAAGCACTAGGGATCCTAGCGTTGGTCCTCAGAGACTGCTAGGAGGACAGTGGTGAGCAGACCACTGTCTGCTAACATGTAGTGAGACAGCTACCCCCTCCACTTCGTCCGTATATAACAGTCAGAGTCGTGCAGGGGTGGGGGGTGGGGGGAGAGGCAGAAAGAGACCCGTTAAGGCTGGTTTTCCTTCGTTCATTATGAAACGCGGAAACAATAAGAGGGCTCTGAGGAAAGTGCAGTGTGCTTCGTGGAAACTGCGGGCTTGACAAGCCCACTGCTCTAGGTTGCGGATTGTGGCCTATAAACCGAGAGCGGGGAGAACTCTTCTTCTTCGCCGTCTCCACTTCCTCTTTCTCGTCTTCTTCACAGGAAGAAGACGAGAGTCTGGAGGGCTAATGTGGTAATATGCGATCGAGAACACCTTCAGCTGCTGGCGTTCGATGAACAAAACAATTGCGAAATCTGTAACATGACGTTTGAAGTCGCCAAAAATGGAAATTACCGCTAAAATGATCTCACAAGGCCCACGCCGAAACACTTCCCACTCCATGCCCCAACTCGTGACCGGAAACCAATGTTTCATTGCACGGCGGTTTTATTGCGCATTCTATGTCACAGCAAGACAACATCATTTGTGCGCAGCTCAGGAAAGCAGACTTGAACTACGCTCGAACGGCTTTGCCATAGCGAACCGTAAGCCAACCAAAGCCATAGCGGACGGTTATAATGTGTGCGTTCCTGCCAGACGCATGCTACGTTCGCACTCATCAAATATAAAGGCAGCAATGCACAGATGTGTACGCCAATCGGTATGCTTCAAGATGGAAGTCACGAGACAACGGAGGCGAACGGAAGCAAAATTCTACTATGCCGGCCATCGCTGTAACTCTGCACGCAACGAAGTTCAAGTTCCGAAACTCTGACGCCGCGTGTTCACGCACCCCATGATATCACCAGTCAGAGGATAGCAGACCAGTCTGCTAATACCAGCCAAAGGACGGCGACCGGTCCGTGCCGCACACTGTGGTGGATAATCCCATCGTGGGTAATCCCACCGTGGATCATCCCACTGCGGATAACGCCACCGTGGATCATCTCACTGTGGATAATCCCATCGTGGATAATGTCATCGTGGATCACCCCACTGCGGATAACGCCACCGTGGATAATCCCACTGTGGATAATCCCATCGTGGATAATTTCACCGTGGATCACCCCACTGCGGATGACGCCACCGTGGATCATCCCACTACGGATAATCTCATTGTGGATAATCCCACCGTGGATCATCCCACTGCGGAAATCCCTTTGTGGATAATCCCACCATGGATAATCCAGTCTTGGATTGTCCCACAAGTAAGCCGAGAACGGACACCAGCCAGCGGTGGAGGCGCGGTCCAGCAGCAGCGCCAGGGGAGGACGGTGGCCTCCTCAACCATCACGCAGCTTCCCATTCGCCGCCTAACCCGGTTAATCCGCCCCAGCCTGACCTCCACAGTGCACCGCCGGCCGGGCGGCTGCATGTCGGCAAGTGATTTGGCGGGAGTCGTGAGAGAAAACTCCCGCCAAAACGGCTGCTGCCGTTGCAGGCGTTCGATGCCGCGTGCAGGGGAGCCAGTATGGTAACGTGGTGTTGCAGGCTGTTTCAGCAGTGAGCTTGTGACGCAAATGAAGCTAAAACAAAGCACTGGAAAGATGCTGTCCCTCAACTGTCTGCTAGAATACTTGACAAATGTCTGTACATGTGGCGGATATTGCAATATCTTGTTATTCGATTATTTGTATGTTGATATGTGATGAGCAGCAAGCTGTCTTATTCTCAAGTCCCAAAGGAAAACAAGGATAAAGGAAGTCGTTAAAAAAATGGCAGGTGAAGCTGAAGGGGGATAATATGTGTTTCAATGCACCGACATTTGTAATACCATGGCACGAGACTATGACAGATTATGCGCCAGATGATGACATCTAAAGGACTTAAAATAAAGCGGGCTTAAACTGTGTCGACGTGTTCATCCACATGACACAAACCGAAGTGCAAAGAACGCCCCCCCCCCCCCCCCCCCCCCCCAGCTTCGGAGGATCCAGTAGCATGTTCTGGTGATAAAGTCTTTCCAACTCCCCTAAACGGGCCGGCGACAGCCACGGTGTGAGAAACGTCCCAAATATGAGCCGAGGCTCAGCTGTTTGTTTGGTGCCCGTAACCACGGCAACCAGTTTGCGAAGCCGCGAGGCCAAATGGCCGCCCTTGCCACCGGTTTATTGTTAGCTCGTCGCTTGCGGCAGTCGGCGTGCTAGATTGTGAGGCTGAATGACATGGGCTGCTGGCTAAGTCGCTGCTCTCACATCCGACAATCCTGAAATGGTGTTTACGAACGCCGATGCCACGCGGGCGTCGATAAAACCGCAAACTTTCGTGCTTGGAGTATCATCGTGGAGTCCTATCCGTACCTAGTATTGTTAGCTACTTCGTCTGTTAATTAGTGCTGCCCGATCACGAGCACGATCACGATCACGATTTTCACGATCTACGCAATCTGCTCAATTAACTGAAGTATCGTAATAA